AATCTTCATTGATTGTGAATGGTCTTCATTGGGTGTGGATCGTGCTATTTCATCAGCCTTTACGTTTCCTGTAATGCCACTATGCGAAGGTACCCACATAAAATGTATAGTTTTATCTGAATCATTTAGGTTACTTAAGACTTGTTTGATATAAACACTAAATAATTAACATCATATTTACAACTATTTCTAAATGAATTTAATACACTTTGTGAATCAGAAAGAATTAAAAACTTGTTAACATTTTGTAGTGCTGAGATATATATTAAAGCCTGATAGATAGCATAACATTCAGCTGTATATATACTACAATTACTTGGGATTAATATACATTTGCTTAAATTTAGCTGGACATCATAATAAGCAGATGTCACTCTATTATCAGTCTTAGAACCATCTGTGTATACTCTATAATAAGATTGGTTTTCTAGAAATTGCATTAAATCTTTGTTATTTTGTATTGGTTCAGAATGTAATATGAAATTACAATTTATCAATGCATTATATGAAATATTGTACAGAGGCCAAGTATTATCTATATACAGATTTTATGTACATATAGCACAATTGCTACCATTTCTGGAGTGTATCCAGTATTAAGTGAAGCATTATTGATATAAGAACCTCTTTGCATATTCTGTAAAGTTTCTAAAGGTAATAGTCTGCCTGTAATAAATGAGCTTTTATAAGAAATAGTTCTTAAGCAAAATCTTTCTGCCAACTGTAAACGCCTTAATATGAGTGGTGGGATACAGCTTTCTGATTGCATCACATGAATAGGAGTAGAACACATTGCCCCAGTTATTATTCTCAAAGCTCTATTTTGAAGAACATCCAATTTACGTATTAAACTTGAATTAGCATTGATGTATGCTAGACAACTGTAGTCAAAGTGACTTCTTACCACGCTTTTATAAAGCATTGACAAAATTTTCGGATCTGAACCCCAATGTATACCAGCCAGAGATCTAAGTACATTTAAACCTTGTGTGGCACTTTTGATTATCTTATCAAAATGTTTCTGAAAGCTCAACTTAGGATCTAAACATACACCCAAGAATTTGTGATCTTGAACCCATGGTAAACAACTATTATTGTACATAACATCATTATTAAGTGTACTATAAGGTATCTTACTAAAAATCATAGCAGAACTTTTTGAGGCACTTATTTCTAATTTTAATATATTTTTGTAATAGTGGTGTATTTCTGTTAATGCTCTATTTATTTTATTGATAGCAATATTTACATTATTATTTACAGTATATATAACTAGGTCATCAGCAAATTGTAGAAAATATACATTATTTTCCTTTAAATGTTGTTTAATTTGACATGTATAAATATTATACAATATAGGAGAGATTGTTGCTCCTTGCATAGTACCTTTGTAGACATTTCTTGGACCATGTAATATATTGTTATACTTTATATACATATGTCTGTTAAATAAAAAATCAAACACCCATTTACAGAGTTTACCTGGAACACCAATATCATGAAGGACTTGGGACATGATGGAAGGATTCACATTATCGAATGCACCTTTAACATCAAGAAATGCACAAACTGTCACAGAATGTTGAAGAAATGATGTTTTTATATCAGATATCAATGAAATAAAGCTCTCTGCAGCACTGCGACCTTTGCGAAACCCAAATTGTTCTATAGGTAATATTCTATTACTTTCAATGTAATAATCTAATCTTATTTTGATAATGTTTTCAAATATCTTACCTATACAAGAGGACAAAGAAATAGGTCTATATGAATTGCTTTCTTGTACTGGCTTATCTGGTTTAAGGATTGGAATAACACACTGTGTTTTCCATGATTGTGGTATTGTCTGGCATTCCCAGAGTAAATTAAATATAACGAGTAACTTTTTTTGTGCATTTATATGCAATTTTTTTATAAGATTATATGTGATATCATCAAGACCAGGGGTAGTGTCTTTTCTAGACTGTAAGGATGTTTGGAATTCTTCCCATGTGAATGGTTTTATAAGAAATTGAGCATTTAAACTTCCATTGCTATCAAAAAAATATTTTAACTTATCCAAATCTATATCTTTTTCAGATGGAATTGAAGGTGCATATTTATCAAAAAAGGATGGGACCCAGTCATCATTTTTAGGTCGTTTGGAAGATGAAATTCTTTTGAATCGCCTCATGTAATTCCATATTATGCTTACTGGAGTGTATCTATTAAAGGACTCACATAATTTTAACCAACTGTTTTTTTTCTTTTCACAGAGTAGTCGCTTTTTGTGAGCGTCACTTTTTTTGTATTCTATGTAATTATCAATAGTTGGATGAGATCTATAGAAATTTAATGCTAGTTTGCTTTTCTTGACAACTTCTTTACACTCATCGTCCCACCATGGAACTGGTTTCTTTTTAATGAATGTAGTATTCTTTTTTAATTTAGGTATATATTTTTCTTTGAGAATATTCAATATCTTACAAAAATTATTATATGTATTCAGAGAATTATTATTTTCAATTGTAATATCATCAAATGCTGATTCACTGTCAATATAAAAGTTTTTCCAATCGGCTCTGTTGTATAGAAACCGTTCAAAAGGTTCGCCTATTTCATATTTTTCAATTGAGACGTGAATATCTATGATGGTGGGATAATGATAACTGCCCATTGAGTCAGAATATACACTCCAGTTACACAATGGAGCCACAGAAGGACTAACACATGATATGTCTATTGCTGAAGGACTTTGACCAACACGTCCTACAGTGGTTGTAGAGCCCGAATTTAGGATGCATAAATCGCATTCGTCAAACATGTTGTAAATATTGTTACCTCTGTTGTTAGTTGAGTGACAGCCAAATGCTATGTGGTGTGCATTAAAATCTCCTGAGACTAATATAGGTTTAGGTAAATCATTAATAATCTTTTTTAAATTGTTGCTCTGAAAGTTTAAACGCCCTTGCTTCGGAGGAGGACAATAAATGCACAATATAGAGAGATTACCTATATCAGTAAGTATGGTAATACCTACTGCTTGTGATTCTTCATAGAAAGGAATTGAATGGACAGAATATTTGAAATAATTTTTGATCAAGATCGAGACTCCACCTCGACCACCAATACCAATTTGATTAATTATGTCATAGCTAGAAATATGTATATTATTATTTTCTTTTAACCAGGTTTCATTTAATAAGCAAATATCTATGTGATTCTCTTGAAGATAATTGATGAGGAGTGGTTTTTTGTTAATAACACCTTCTATGTTAAACTGGAATATTCTTAGAAAACTTTTATCCATTATTTAGGTTTTAGAGTTTTAATAAGTATCTCCTGTATTATGTTACTAGTTATGGCTCTATCTTCATTTCCTATTGCAACCAGTGCGCCAACTATGGCCTTGCGGATAAAGTCGTTATTGATTATTTCATCAATTAACTTTTCATTTGAAAGTTTCACCACTTCTGTGGTTTGTGTAGGATTTAGGATGGTAGAAGGGGTAGTGGTGGAGCCTTGTATTTTATTTGGTGTTAAGGGCTTTTTAGGGGTAGACAATTGCGGGAAGTTAGTTTGATAATTATTCATAGTCATATTACCATTGTATCGTTCTCTTTTGGATAATAAAGCGTTTGCATAACTTACTTTGTTTTTCTTTTCGTCAATTTTTTGTTTTTTAATAGGACAGTCACGTGAAATAGAGAGATGTGAACCTTGACAGTTTGAACATTTAATGACTTTATCATTTGGACATTGTGTGTAATGGTGCTCCTCGGAACAAACGGAGCATTTTTGTACCGATTTGCATACTTTCGCCCCATGGTTGAATTTAAAGCACTTATAACACTGTAATAAAGGTGCATTATATTCATGGACTCTGAATCGGAACAAATCAAGATAAACGTATTCTGGTAGTACATTTGATAAGAAAGTTATGCTGACTGTTTTAAAAGTTTTGACAGTACCATTCTCTTTTTTTGTAAACCTACGTACAGCTACAATTTCAAAAGGAGAGCTTAATTTCTTAAATAACTCTTCGTTACTAATACTGGTGGGTACGAAGCGTAGTACACCAATCTTTTCTACTGCTGAGGCCGGGATATATGCTTTGAATTTGTGCTTTGATAAGAAATCTTCATTTTTTAGAAAGTTATTGGCGTGGTTCGCTTGAGAAAAGGTCACACAGATTTTAGTGGGGTTGATCCTTTTTATATTGATGATGCCCTTTATATCGTTTTTGAACAGATTGGTCGTCAGAATTGGATTGTTGTTGCCTAATTTTTCGTTTTCTTTATAACTTTCTACGAAAACACAGTATTCAGCACTCACCGCATTGTCAGGAAACAGTCTTTTATAATCATGTTTAATATATGGTTTGTAAAAATCTTCAGAGGCTGCCTTGTCTGCTTCACTTGCTCTATTAGGAGCTTTACGTTTTTCGGTCCCGCCGGGCGGGTCGTCCCCGTCCGGCATGATTATTTAAATGTACAATATTAATAACTATTTTACAGTACTTTTTAATTAAAACTAGAATTAAAAACAAGAAATTAAAATTATTTTGAAGAAACTTTTAAAATTCGCGCCTAGTGCGTTCAAAAGCCCGCCAAAAAGTCTCTACATGGAAGAGAACCGGAAGGGTTGTCATGGAGAAAACATGTAAGTACCATAGCGACATCTAGTTTGAAACCGGGAACTTTTATTTAATACTTCCTCATTAAAAAAAAAAAAAAAAAGAAGAGTTGGCAACACTGATTGACAGTTCTTCTTATCATCAGCTGACTTTATTCCAAAGAGTAGTATTAGATTATTCTTTATGTCAACCTATATTACGAACGAAGCGTTTTTATTGTTTATATTCTTGTAGCAATTCTGATTAGTTCCTACGATAATTTTAAAATTATAATTATTTGATTTATGTTGTCGAATTACAAAAGGTTACGCATATTGATATCTGTCATTTGGTGTTTGGTCAACTTGGTTTATTGAACGTTAAAATGTAAAACTTAAGAAACTAGGACAACTTGGAAAGTGAAACAAGTCATGTTTGCTGTCCCGTTATTAACAACCAAAGACCGTAACAGACAGACAGTCTAGAACAGGCGGCTAAAACCATTATAACATATAAAATTCCACTTATAAAATCTGTGAAAAAGAACTTTAAACTTCAATCAAAAATGCTAAATATTTTGGATATTATTTTCGTTGGATTAGCTTCAGCAGTAACCTTTACTGGTGTTTTAATTAATAATTTCGAGAAACATGTGCCAGCATTTATATTAAAAGGTTTTAAATATGGGAGTTTTGCTTACAAAGGAACTGAAGCAAATTTTCTTCAAGTTATAGAGATACCAAAGTCTTGGTACCGACATTTTTATTTATTTGCGTCCTGTTTTGGAAGTGCAACACTTATTTACATGATAATGGTGTACCATTCTGAATATAGTGTGAATGTATATGTCTCTTTAGTTTTAAGGCTGTTTCTTGAAGAAGATGAACCTGCAGGTAAGTGTTTCTCACATCACTGTGCAAATGTTAAATTTAAGTAATTGATTAGGATTCTTGTTTAATTTCGTATATGCCGTTTTAGTTACAGCTTTGTTGGAATAAAAATTTTAATTTGTATATAATAGTTTATTACAAATCAAGGTTTTACAGTTTTAAGCATGTAATTTTAAATATGTCAATATGTAATTTTAAGTACTAAAAGTCCTTGACAGTTAAAACAATTGAAATGATTTATTGACTACTCTTAAAACCATTAATTTTGTTGAACCTGCGATATAGAAATATACTAAAATTTATTACCTCCAAATATCTGATTGCTCATCTCTTGTTTTATTTATTTTTGTTAATAATGTCTCTATCCCTCATACCAGATAAAAAAATTCTTGAATAGACAAAGGGATGAATTTTGAAGAAGTTGATTGCCTATTCAAATTATCATCTACTACATAATTAAGTTTGAGTTTTGATTATACAAGTTGTTTTTAAGAAAAACAGCCTGTTTTCATTATTGTTTGCTTGTTTCAGTATCTGCAGCAGCTGTAACTATTGTAACAATTTTGATGGTACTTCAATGCTTGAGGAGATTTTATGAGACATACTTTGTGCAAGTTTTTGCTAAGTCAAGCAAGATGAACCTGAGCCATTACTTGGCTGGTATCATACACTATTTCGCCTGTTTTGTTGCTGCTATTGGTCAAGCACCCCTGTTCTGTGGTAAGTTAATGTGTTCATCTCCATCATCACCAACCTATTAATATCCCTGCTGGGGCTCACGCCTTCCATATGGATAAAATTGCATCAAATTGTATTCTTAGAATGGGCCATGGGCCACTACCCAGACCCGGTGCAGATTAGTAGGTACAACTGCAAATACACCCAGGACCATTGAGTCTTCAATCCAACTTAGCATGCTTACTGAAGAACAGAGGAGCTTGAGATAATAAATTTTTGCTCACCCATCAAATTACCAGCTATTACAAAAGATTCTTAAAAACAGTGTTGTAGACCAAAAGTGCTAAGCACTAAAACATCAACCTACTAATACATTGTTAACTTATTAGTTATAAATTAATTTTTAATCTAAGTTGGATAGTGTTGGTGGCATCAGCAGTTCTTAATTTGTACTGCTACTTAAAATTTAAAAGTCTGATAAGATAACAATTGTCCAATGATATTATTTAGAATTATATGATAATAAGAAACACAAACTTTTATTTTTCAGGAAATCAAAATAGAGATATGGTAGTTTGGAATGACACATATACAAAGATATTAACTGTACCTTGTGTATTAATATTCATGTGGGCATGGTATGAACAATACCAGAGCAATATAATCTTTGCAAACTTACGTAAAGACAAGAAGTCTGGTCAGGTGATTACAGAAGACCATAGAGTGCCAAATGGTAGAATGTTTCAATATGTATCTAGTCCACATAGGATGTGTGAAGTAATATTGTATACAGTGCTTCTACTGTTAATACCTACTAGAACATTTTTCTGCATTTACTTATGGGTTCTGGCTAATCAGGTATGCATTTTTCACTATTTATGTTATAAAGTCCCATTTTTATTGGTTGATAAGTTAGGTGAAGGAGAATAGGCAAAATAGCATGGAGCCTGAGCTATATGCAGTCAAGAACATTTCTAATTGTGTTCTACAAATACAGTGGAAATGTTTTATCACCAAAATATACTTAAAAGTGGATAAAATTCATTATTGTTTTTGTGGACAAGATAATTGAATATGTGTCCTAACTTAGGTTGAGAGTAAAATGTTAGTTATGGTGAAAAATAAACCTTTTTTAGACCATACCATTTTACACTCATTTTATATAGTACCAGCACGAATTTTTTACGTAACAATATAGCATAGCGCATATTACATGATTAATGTTTACAATTATTATTATATATACTGTTTTATAGAAGGTCTAGGGATTATTAGTGTTCATTCATGTTCTGTAATAGCACTTATTTCCGCTGCTGTTAATCATATATCTTCAGTTTTTGCCTAACCAACCAAGGCACCAGACTACGCACATAATGTGTGTGCGGCATCAGACCGTGCGTCTTCCACTCAAACACGAACAACAATCATGTGCAAATGCTTCTCGTCCATTTTTGTGATGGTCAATGTCTACATAAGCATAATAAACCCTGAACATCACGTGTCTAGACTGAATTCAGGCTCATAGCAACAAATCCATCTTCCTCCTCAATATACTCATCAAGGACCCTTATTTGTTGCTTTCGTTACCCCTGTACATAATGCTCAACATAATAACTATAGGTTAGTATGTAACAAGAGTAAATAGTATAAGGTCTTCTTGTCAAAGATTTGGAAAGTCTTCAAACATAGGCATTTATGTTATTACAAGTAACAAAATCAGCTCGGTGAGTTAATATATTTTTTATTGTCAGTAAACAAACTGTAAGTATATTGACATATAATGGTCTTCCACCTCCTTGTACAGTATGTACATATATTCCAAGTAGCAATGTGTATGGACTTTTGTTTTTTATCGCCAGTGTAAACAGGCATAAAAAGAAACGTTAATACCATTCACGTAACACACTATTAATTTTTGTGAACTCGCTAAAAGTTTTTCCTGTATAGAGCGTACGGTTACTCCTCGACTGAGGGATCACGGTAAATGGAAGTCAATAATTAACAGCGCAGTCGTTATACTCTGCCTGCGAATATTCTCCGCATTCTAAGAATGTTTCATGTTAATGAATAGAATAGAAACTTAATGCAATCATGAACGGATAGATGTTGAAAGAGTACTTTGTTTCAGATCCAGACTGCAATTCAAGCTCATGAGTGGTATAAAAAGACGTTCAACAACTACCCCAAGAATAGATTTGCCATTTTTCCGGGAATTCTTTAGATTTGCTATTAGTAATTAATATTTAATATAATCAAAATCGAGATATTACAGTCAAGACTGAATAACATAGAAATTATATTATTTATTGACACTAAGTGGACCAAAACTGTAACAGGAATAAGTATATTGATAAGTATCTGATTTATTATGTTTTTATGTAACTCTATTAAAATAAATTATGTCAACTGTTGAATCAATATATATTACTAACTGTATATATAATAGAATTAACAAAAAGCTAAGACGCCCGAAGTACAGAACTTCTTCTTTTTGATGTCTTATAAAAACAAGTAGCTCGGTGGCGTAGTGGATAAGCGCCGCGGCCCGCGATCGTTGCCGTTAAGCAACTTTCGCAAGGGTCGGTCACGGGATGGGTGACCAAAAAATTATTATCTCGAGCTACTCCGTGCTTCGGAAGGCACATTAAGCCGTTGGTCGCGGCTGCATTTGCAGTCGTTAATACTCTCCAATCAGCATTGGGCCAGTGTGGAAGGTCATGGCCCATCCTCCTTAACCATCCATAAGGAAGGCCTGAGCCCCTGCAGTGGGGACGTAAAAGGGCTGGTGATGATGATGATGATGATGATAAAAACAGGTAAAATGTTGTAATTTTAAAAATAAAGTGAATATGATTATTAAAACATTTTATTTCCATCAACTAAAGATGTTATATTGCAACACACACAACAAACTGCACACTTATCACCATTCACTTATTTGAAAAGGAAACTGAAACAAGACAATATTTACATTAAATTTTATATGTAGAAGCAACACATCTTGTGTCACAATCGAAAGCGTAAATATTTTTATGGAAATTCGTATTTCTTGATATAAAAAATGTTACAATACTGCAATCGATTTAAAACCTAATTGTTATTGATAAACAATATGTGTTCCACTAATTTAAAACTTATAAGACAGAAAAAATAAGTCCAGCAGGCCTATCGCGTAATCATTTAACTCCATATGAACATTGACCGTTAAGTGCATTCAGATCAATCCAATGTCAACCAAATTGATGGCTAAGTAATATATGAATATATATTATAAAAATATTAAATATTATTTATCCTAACACGTACCTGTAAGGGTATCCTTGTGTCTTAGCTCTAAACACAGATAACAGGAGTGAGAAAAACACGCAAACCAACACCAGTCCTACAACGGACTGGAACCGGCGTCTCTTTCCCTCAGTCTGGGTGCGAGCAGGATCGTTGTTCTTCACACCGCCCGCCGCTTCTATCATAAGGATCATACCCACTACCACAGCACCGTCTGCGATTAGCAGCTAAGGAATAGTGTTTAATGTTATTGTTACAGGATATTCGATTGTTATTAAAATAGACCGTAATATTTTTTTGTCTGGTGCATTCCAGACAATATTCTTTGTTAATCCACTAAATCACTAGCCTGTTCTGTCACAATTCAATATCGGAGCATTCCGATACAGGCAAAACATTCTTTGTGACGATTATTGATGGCCCAGTAGAAAATATTTTTTGACCGGAACATAATATGCTTCGCAAACGCGTATCATATGGACATGGCATACAGTTAATCCAGTGCAATGAGCATAGTAGACTGTCAGTCGGTTGCACAAACGTCCATTAAATTTGTTATTAGTTTATAGCAACATTAGCTATACAAACTTCACATTCGTTAGAGCTTAAATAAATCATTAAATCTTAATGGACGTTTGTGCCACGATGCCAATGGACGTTGACTGACCACGTATTGTTTATTTCTGCGCGCAATTCATAATACTTTCATAGTACGATCATGGTATGACTGGTGTACGCCAGGATATTCTAGTGATCTTATTACTCAACACATAAAGAGAAAATCTCTTCTTTAAAAAGGATACTCAGAATAGCTACGATATAACTTTCCAGCACGAACTGTCCGTGCGAGCCTCCGTTAATGTACACCGGGCCATTCTTCGTCCTGTGGAAGAAGGGTGGTCCTCTGATTTGGTTCCACATCTGCCCAGAGACCATGGCAAAACAAAAGAACACTGCACAGACTGCCCACATCTGTTTGTTGTATAGGAACTCAAGATTGTTCCGTCTCAGGTAAAGGAAGCCCGCTACCAGGAGAAAGAGCATTGCGAAGGCGACTAGCCCTGAGTAATTGGGCGGACGGAATACTCTGATCTGTAAATTATAAGATTTCTCGTTTACAATAGTCAATACAAATTGTGACACAACAGGCAATTTCTCCTCAAAATATCAATTTTTTCTTCATATTCGACTTACTAATATTGTTCCGATTCCCATGTTTTACTAAAATATTAGAATACATTCAACAAAAATTAAATTTTACATTATTTGCAATATGGGTATTATGAACAATTCTGATAATATTCATTCAATTTCACACTTAATTGAACTATAATATTAAACCCATTTACATCACTATAAACATTTATACTACCTTAAGGTAGAAGAAAATTCAATAGCCATGAAATATCCTAGACTTAGAAGCATTGTGAAAGTACAAATGTATGACATTGGTTAGAGAAAAATGGAATGATTCAGAGATCTTTGCCATTGGACACAGAGTAGTATATGTGTATTAAAATGTAACTGCTATGATCTCCGAAATGAACTGAAACGATAAATAAAAAATAAATATGACTCTTGAATGTGAGAGGGGACTGTAAGTTAATACATTACTTAAGTTACCCTAAATATAAACTTTGTTTTAACCAAACAATATTTTATGAATATTATAATTGATTAATTTTCCATTCACAATGCTATACTATACATAGCATTCACCCGGATTTCAAAAGGTCATGAGTTTGAGTCCCATCTCGGAGTACCAGGGACAAAGTGGATTTTTTAAGCATTTCCAATTAGGAATATTTGTTGTTAAACTCAGCAATGATGTTAAACTCAGCAACAAATGATTACCTGTACATCAGTTCTATCCTGGATCCACTTAGCTATAGCTTCAGCATGGATACCAGCCCTTTCAAAGTCCATAGAATCTGCCGGCTTAGGCTTTCCCTTAGCAGGGAAATGCATGATCACAGGGGCTGTGTTAAGACGAAGCTAGAAAAACATTTGAAAAAAGTGTCTCATAATGATTGAAATAAATTATTTTTTAAAATTTTATAAATATTATCAATATAATTTAATATGAAATAAAGTCTGTGACAAAGGACAAACAGATCTTAAAAGTCACAAATATAGGGCATTTTAATTATTACTCACAAATGCTAGTTCGTTAAGTAAGTATAGTCAACAGCATATCAAGTTACTAAAAAGGCCAAATTTACCCAATCAATTTAGACCTTAATTCTATTAAAACTTAGGTTCAAAATTTTATTTACATTATTTTTTCTTCTTTAATATTTAATCTTTGTATTCATTCAACTTTATAATTGCTGGCATGTGTGTGTGTGATATGTGCAAATAAAATTATTATTCATTCATTCATTCAAATTGACTACTTGTGCTGCTGTGTAATAGTTATAAATTTATCATCTATTGTTATTGTATCAAATCAGTGTATTAATTCAGTAACAAGTGGAACAAATAGAAATAGCAGAGATTAAACGGACTATAGCTGATATGAAGAACCGGCTGCGCCCCAATTTAAAATTTATATGAGGTACTTACCATTTGGAATACATCAGACCCTTCATCAAAATCAACCATACCAAAGAAGATTTTATTATTATAAGCTTGTGAGAATCTAAAGGAGTTCGCAACGATCACATATTCATCGTACACATGCTGACAAATGGCACATCGTCGGGCTGGAGCCATCGCCGTAAACATTACTATAAAGGAGTAATCTTTAGGGGGAGATTTCACATACTCTTTAAACTTATTGAAATTCAATGGTATTATAGACTTTTTCACTGTCATATCAGTTAACTGTTGCGTTTTCTCTTCTAGCTGGAAATATGAAAGAATAAATAAATTGTAATAGAGTGCCGGTTTTATTGCTTTGATATTTCTTAGATGAAACTTACTCCCTTTGTACGGGTCTGTGCCTCTCCTTGATAAAATATTAGAAGCACGAAAAAACATAGTAACTCTCTGTATTTCATTTTGATCATGAAGTTTTTCTAATCAATTAGATTTCTTCTTTTTAGAATTTGTTCAAAGTATTTTGCCAACGCAGACGCGTGAAGTTTGCGTGTGACATTGACACATTGACTTTTCTTTGACATTGATATTTAGGGATGTATGAGCTGACATATCGGAATCTGATATCGTACGTTGAGATCGATAGTGACATAATGCAAAAAATGCGATTTTGAGAAATGAGCGTTTAAAGTTCAAGAAATTGTAATCAGCCCCTTTAAACAACGTATCGTCGCTACGCCACCTAGCAGTTTCTATGCAAGCTACGTTCACAGGAATCTTTGCATTTTAAAGTTTATACTTAACAAGGAAAAATGTTGCCAAAAGTAAAAAATACGTCGTTTTTGGTAAGTGACTTTGTCATTCTTAACGTGATTATGTCAATATTGATGATAACAAGACATCGAAAAATTCCAATGTAACAAAACCTAATATAATGTAAGGTATATTTAACATTTGTCCAAGTTTTAACATCCATCCAATCTAATGGCGGATTTTAACATGTGACATTTATGAACGGATAAACAGTTGCGTTCAGTAACCCTGCTTTTTATTTGTAGTACCTAGTTATTATATTATTTTTAAAAAATCCACTTGGTCCCTGGCACCCTGAGATGGGAAACGAAACCACGACCTTTCGCAATCCGGGCGACTGCTCTAACCACTGAGCTACCCAGGACCTAACAGGACTGATTAATCTTACAAGCACTTATTACTTTTCATTACTACAGAGCGTATTCTCATCAATGTTCAGGCATCCACCCAAACAACCGAAAGAAATATTGTTAAAAATATTGAAACAAGATGGGAATTTTATTCTAATTATTATACCTATATTGAATAATTTTGCATTCACAATGCTTTACTGAAAATTATTCTTAATTCAAAATATAATAATTAGTTTTTATATTGTTATCATTGTTGTTGTTTCTAAATTCAGTAGCCAACAAATCACCAATATCTGCCAGGTTTTCTTTATTAAATATATTATGAAACAATATATTAAAACGAATTCCATTTAAATATGGTTTTTAAAACAATATATTTTGTATTTACTTGAATGCATTACTAAACGAACAATATTATTCGACAATCTGTGGCTGTGTTATCGGCTTATTAGCCGCCATCGCAGAAATGTTTTTAAGCAACTTAGCTACCTATAGCTAAGCCGTATCTGCAATGGTAGGAGCCTAATAGAAACTCCTACATGGGCTAGATAAACCATCAACAATATCCGACGTTTTTGGTTTTATGGCTTCGCACGTGACTCAAATGTTAAAAGTGATCATGATTCTGCCCTGCGATTCTGTAAGAATAAATAATCCAGACCCAAATTCGATGTCTTTGATTCGGTCAGATCAATGAAATCGAATTTGGGTCTGCACGTCATTTAGTGTAGAAATTTTATAATTTCATTTGTTGTATAAAAATACAAAACAAAATTACGTGTCTCAAATATTCTATTCCTATGTCATTTCGAAACTCACTTCACTGATGCCACGAAACGGTTGTACTTTATTATATACCAATTCAAGTTTGAGCGGCTGCTGCTTTTTGAAGTGAATTTGGAAACCTGAGTGAATGAAATGAAATGAATGAATGAAAACGAAATTCGGATTTGGATTTTTACAGAATCGCAGGGCTGTCAAAGGTTATATCTGACATTATATCAATCACAGATTTATTCTGTAATAAGTATAGCATTATCTATATTTCCTAGTAAAACTATCGATTAAAATAATAATATCGGACCTATTCGCTCACTGACAACCTATAGTCTTCTTCTTCTTCTTTTATTAATGGCTTATCTGCGCATTTCACACAATTCTGCCAATGTCAAGTGAATAAATTAATTTCTACATGAAAAATGAATATGAAACGAACGAAAGATGGCGATGATCAATAATCAATCAATAGTCTTTTGACCTTAAAAAGTTAGCAGTTACAATGTGTCAAAATCACATTCGTATTATCGGGGATCTTAAGAACTTTTAGTGGCTTTGCTGATTCTAAGTTTTTTAGAAATGCGTTCAGGCTCCAAAGTTCTTCAACCAATTCGCAACTAGAGACGCCACATTTTCGCCATCGGTCAAAATACACACTTATCAGGATTTCTTTTGTGTTATAAAAAATTATAAATAGATTGATAATGTGAAATTTATATAATTGTTGAAACTGTGTATACCAATGCATTTTCAATAAGTAGCTTTTATCATAGGGTAAAAGACGTTAATTTTAAACAATTCTTATGGATCTGTTGTTGTTTCATCTGCAGCTTCATAGTCAAATAATCGCTTTTATTTCCGTGTCAGACTGGCTCAAATGAAGTATCTATCGCAGCTTCAGAAGCTACATACTTAGCTGTGATTTGAGCTGAAGAATAAGTTTCACAAATCCAGAGCAATTATGCAGTAATAGTGATGCCTTTGATAAATCTATATTTTCAGACTGCATAGCTTTAGTTACAATGTTTACTTGTAACAGTATACTATACCAAGCCACCGTTGTAAATATGGATTCAAATTGCTCCATGGTCTGAATCAGTGACAAAGCTTCTGTTGCAGCAACTGATTCATACGTTACTTCAGAACAGAAGTAAGGCTAGAAACTTCTCTCCCAGCGAGTTTAAATATGAGTTTCCACCTTTTTATTGACCCAGAAAATATTAGTCTTTGGAGAAATCCAAATGAAAAAACTGACTTAACGGGCGATTTAGCTGCATCTGCTAAGTATCACCAAATTCAAGTCACGTGGGTTAAAAAATGCTCGAAGAAATTGGTTTATAATCCTTGCTTGGACACTTGTTTATTCCTACCATGTTGGCATGAACTTCGATAGAACTTCATGGTTCGGCAGCCCCCACGTGACGGCGCCCAGTACGTTCGCATCGCTCGCACCGCCGCAGCTGCCGCTGGTCCTTACCGCATAAAGTAATTTCTTCCAGACGAGTTGCGGTTGCAAAACGTACTCCGCATCGTGGTGCCCTAGACTGGTGAATATTAGCAGGATGTAAAAAATTCCAATGTTTTATGAACTCCTGCTTTTTAGCAGTATTCGTCGATCTTTTAAAATTATGATCTAAAATGTTATTGTTTCCTAGCTGTAACCCGCGGTTAACCCATGTGGTCAGAGGATACTGAGTGCACACTGACCTGCTATACTGGAGTTTTGCCAGTGAGCATCCACCTTTATATCATTATTATTTAAGCTTAGCAAAGTCCCCACAGTTGGGGCAAAGGCCTGCCCGATAGACGTAACCAATTATATAAAATCTACCGGTTTTCGTGGATAACGCGCATGTCTTTATATAATACTACAGTTGCATTTCTTTTTATTACTAAAATAGTACAGTAGAATCAACACACCTTAAAAAAATACAGACAAAAAAAATTAATAATAACGCCGTAATTTTGCTTGGTTCTATATTTGACTACTGTGCTTATTCTGGACTTTCAGATAAGTGCATAAAACAGCCCGATGCTTTGCTTGTGCAAGATTCTATAACTGATGCTCAAAGCAACGGTCAGGTTGTTCTTGCTTTCTCAATTCCGTTTTTTCAGAGATTTTAGTGCGTGACGCCAAATTAATCAATCTCTTCATTTTGTAGCTATCGAATGAATCTAGTTTCATCTCAGTATTTTTTTTCGCCCAATTTATTATTTAACTATAATACTTTGAATTTTAGTTGCTATTTTAAAATGAATTCAAAAAAAGAGGTTCTTAATTCGATTGTATGTTTTTTGTGTTTGTTACGTGATAAATAACTCCGCCAAAAGAAAGGAATTTCGATCATTTTATTCGACAGTTTAATTTCGAAATTGAATTAGTTTTTTTATTACTAAACAAAATATGCTTTTCATCAGACATCACCTAAATTAAGTTTACCTATATCAGCGCAAAAACAAAAGATAGCGTACTTTGCGTTCATTCTAAATCTCAAAAGGAGGAATTTCTTCCTTCAACGGGCATTATTTTTTCATCCAGATTTATTCATGGTTGCGGTCGTGCAAATAAATAAATATTTCAGGACTTTCGTTATGTGAATATATATTTTATATAGATCTTTAATATTTTAGTGATTTTATTACTTGTCAATTTGTAAAGACTACCAAGTGAGTTTTCTTTTTATTATAAATACTACTACCGTGACTGCAGTTACTTATCTGCTCCTCGATAATTAAATGGACTATTCAACACGAAGATAATTCAATTCAAACCAGTAGTTCCCGAGATTATAGAGTTCAACCAAACAAACTTTATTAGTATAGATAAAATATAGCGTTTAAAAAAGTATTTACTTTAGCTATTTAGACTGCGAAATAATGAACCAATTTTTGGAATTCATTTATGTATAGAGATCTAGCCGTGGTTCTGCCAGACTACCATCAGCTCAGCAGCGCCATATGAACTAGAAAGTTTTTTTATTCTATCAAACACAGCTTTATTTTAGCATAGATTTAATAATACTAAATATATATACCTATTCTAGCTGTGGCGCTGCCGGACTGACTGAAGTCAGTCGCACTTCTTTTTTTCTTAAGTGATTAAGTATGTGTAAACGCACAAATAAGTATCTATAATATAAAGTTAAAATGATTTATCTACTCTTAAGCTTAATTAGAATTCACAAATTATCAAGGGTCAGGTTTACACGTAGGTAATCCAGACATTAGAATTGATACATTAAAGGTTCGAAAATTTATTTCAAAATTGAAATAGTGGCGCTGTAAGACCGTATAAGGTGCAGTTCGTTTTGTGTAATAATTTTTAGTTACAAAGCTAATAATTGCGCCGAAGATAACGAGTTGACGAGAGATTTTGCAGAGTTCACCATATCTATCAAAAGGATAAGTTGATGGCAAGAATGAAACTTGATTAGATCCGTTGCCAAATGCCACTGCTACTGGCGATTGGCCATTCTGTCCGACACTATTTCAGCCATATTTATCAGCATCGGTTTAACTACGAAATCCTAGCACTGTTTCATGTTTTTGTGATCCTTCGAACCAGATGGCTAAAATTCAAATAATTGTCACAACGAGCTGGCAGGCAACGTAAAAAGAAATTTCTGTAATTTTTTTGCACTTAAATTCGAAATATAAATGTTATAATTATAGTTCAGCTTCGCTCTTAATCGGTAATAAAAATGAAAAGAAATGGATTCAACAGAAACACTAGGTTCATAATTTACAGTAGTTGTTTTCAAAATATTTTATTATTAACACAATTCATTCAATAACACCAAAGATTATAACATTCTCTAACATGAAACCTAAATAAAATACAATTTTACCTAGATGTATTTACTTACCAATTTATAATCATTCAAACATCATTTTGACTATGAGGTATACAGAATAAATATATGTATTTGAAATATTTCACATATATAAGTCGTCAGAAATGTAGAAGTATTAATATATCTTAGATAATTTGAATACGACATTGTCATATATAGATAGATCACGAAAGCACCTCCCTAAGCTGCCTTCCTAAACTTTAAAACTTATATTCATTTGTTATTTAGAACCGACAGGAAAATAAAACACGCAGAACATCAAGTAGAAACAAAATAATATGGAATGTACAAATCATTTTTATTTACTGATTTCCTGGCAATACAATGTTCGTGACTTGCTTTAAAAATTTATCTCAGTGGTCACTATCTCGAGATTTATATTATAGAACATATTCACAGGCCAACAGTTTTATTAGGATACATACGTCCACTATAACACTGAAAGCTAATTAGCATGTAGAATAGAGCCAGGTTTGACCCAACTTCTCAGCGTTAAACACGGTCGGTACACGGTACCGGGGGTTTCAACGGTTCATAAATTATTTAAGATAACTTGTTTGGACTTAAATTTCTACTCTAACTGTACATTAGTTTCGCCTTATGCTAAAATAATCTAAAAGTGATATCGTCAGATGGTATGAAGTTACGTTCGCGAGGGACGGGGACGCGCAAATCAACTCTGATATGTCGAAAGGTGGAACGGGAGTCATCCCGTCACCGAAACAGAAATGTAATATAATAAATTAAAATAATTAAATTACGCCGTCGTCGCACGGTAGCGTCGAACATGATCTCAATTCGATATTCTATATATAATTGAAATAGAAAAAATGATTTATACAAGCGCGAAGCGAGGCGCAGCGCCGCCGCAGCATCGAGGCGACACCGGCCGGCTCCGGGCGGGAACACTAGTATACAAGGATGCGGAATGCGGGCGTTCCCACTATTTCCATTTACAATATTATGCAAACATAATAAGGATTACAAGTGTCCGATTAAGATTTGGAAAAATATACACAATCATGAAATTTTATTGAGAAAAGCCCTAGAAGACTTACAATTCAAATAAATTATAATAGGAATAGTGGGAAAAAAAAACAGTGCCACTGTTCCCATCGATAGAAATGTTCAATGTAAATAGGAGGAACGGCCTTAGTTATGCGGCGATCCGGGACTCTATACGGGCCGCTACCGGCGACGACTCCCTGTGCGCGAATGATAAATGCCGGCATAGAGACTCGGAACACGGCCGACGGGAGTGGAGTGTGCTCTGCAGATTTACTGTTTTGTGTAAAGATAGATGGCCACGATGAGACCGTATAGACCCAACACTTCGGCGAAAATGAGGATCAGGATCATTCCGACGAATAACCTCGGTTGTTGCGCGGTACCACGAACGCCGGCATCACCCACGATGCCTATGGCGAAACCTGCCGCCAGACCGGAGAAACCCACGGCCAGACCAGCGCCCAAGTGGATGAATCCCCTGTGAAACAAATAAACATGCCATATACTACCCAATTACATGGCTATTTTTGAAAAGTATTGGTTGATACAGGCAATGTTAGGTACTGGTGAAACAATAAATCATTTCATATGTATAAAAAGAATTATACAGGAGTTGTTTCAATCTAGTGTTGTGCATTAAAACACAATTATAGATTAATAAAGTACTACCGAGATTCCTACAGGAACACTACAAATAAAAAAAAAATTATATAAATGCATTTGGAAAAAAATAAGTGAATTTTAACTAATTTTTAACAATCATTCCATATCTCACTTGTTTATCAGTCTCACATTGATCTTATGATTGATCTGCTATTATCAGATTATATAAATAATGTGATCACACACACAAATCACTGGAACATTATTGAATAATGACATTAATTGTTGTCTTTAAAATAATTTGATGCATTAATGGTAAAACTATATTTATTCAAGTGATGAACAAGTGCTTGTACAGCCAATGTAGCTGAATTCAAGGTTTTTTTGTTAAAATTTCAAGGAAATGATAAGCGATTATAAAGAGCCAGCTCTAATTTTCCTTTAACCTTGGAATGTTAAAACAAATCCTATAAAGCTTAAAATGTATGGTCAGCATATGATAATGAATGTGCCAACAAATATTAGAGTTAAAATAACTGATTTCAACTTGAAACATATTCATTATAATCAACTGTTCCACAAATACTGACACTCCATAGTTATAATTAAATGTTGAAATGATCTACTAGTAATTTTTTTATGTTACCGCCTCAAAAGGGCTATGTTCATAAAAGCATAAGAACAAGCAAAAAATAATAAATTTGTTAATTACTTGTAGAGTGGGTAGTTAGTGGGAGGCTCCAAAGAACCTGCTATCAGTACAGCTACTACCAGCCCGTAAATGGCAATAATACCCGCCATGACAACGGGGATAATGGACTTCATGATAAGCTCGGGCCGCATCACCGACATGGCTGCGATACCCGTGCCTGACTTGGCAGTGCCATATGCAGCTCCCAGCGCTGAAATTACAGAGAACACATACCATAAGCATTGCTTTTTAGCAAATAGGAGATCATCAATACAGACTATATTTATAGGTATATATACAGTATAATCATTTTTATATCAATTCTTATAAAATTCAATTTATGTAAAACAGTAAACTTAGATATACAAAGATATTGAAAAAAATCACATGATTTAGATTGAAATTTTACAATTTTCTGTAAATTTTATAGAACTTTCATTCTCATATCTCTGTCTTACTAATTATGCAAAACAGTTATAATATTATTTATTTGTTTAGTATTTAACTATGTATTTAGTTATACAAAACTATTGAAAGAATCACATGATTTAGGTGATAAGAGCATTGGAAGAATGATAAGTAAATTGCATTTTAATTGTACTGTTTAAGTATCTTTCCTTGCAATAAATATTATAAAAATAGGACTATCAAGAAAATCTTCTTAATTAAAGTAAGGTTAAGCCACATGACAGGACTACTGACTTGGTCACATGATGATAAATCAAGCTACATCATGTGATGGATCTAGGTTTTTTTAAGGGTTTTTATCTATAATAGGAAGAGGTAATTACAGACAGGCTGTGATGTAATACATATTTGCATATAAATTTATTGAAATAATAGTGTGCTATTAATTATTATATTTGTCAATTTACAATGCAACATTTTGATATTTTTCTTATTTCAATAATAAGTTGTGTGGTCTAAAACTAAGATTCAGTATTATGGTAATTTTTATTCATGTACAACTTGTAGCAATAACAATGGAATTTCCCTATTATGATATTGATTGTGTAAAAACATAGTGTTTATGAGTCATTGCAACAGTAAGACTGGTTTTCAGTGTAATACATTGAAATAGATCAGACAAGGCTTTATAAAACATAAAACAATAAATAAACCTCGACTTCATGCTCATTTATTTTTCTTTCACGCCTCCAGTGGCGTTGACAGTGCTGCCAACTTGTACTCTAAAATGACCAGTCACATGACCACTTTACGATTATTTTTATTACAGACTGTTCCTTTCGAAATAAACCCTTCATTGAAAAACTACTCGACACGGTTAAAATACCACGTCACTCAGCGCATCAAAGACTTCCAAGAATGATTCTGTTGTACAGATTTGCTTAAATAACTCTGATACAGATTACAAGGCGCGGCTATTACTAAAATTAGGACGCCTAAAATAACTTAACCAGACAGATTTTACGTTGCATAGAACCAATCCTTGACAACTTCGGTTTAGGAAATATTCTTTAAAGTAAGATACTGGGAAGAAAATACCTATGTAAATTCGGGAAATCGATAATGATTCAAGACAGCCATTTCAAAAAAGTGATACATACCGCTAAAGATAATAGCAGACGCCGCCCCCATAACTCCAAAGAAGGGTCCGTAGATTGGGTTTTCTGCCGACATTTTGAACTTGTTGTGTGGGAGTATTTACAGGTCCCAAAACTGTGATGACTATCTGCACACACTCACTCCACGGAACTACTTTCGAACAGAGAAATACGGCCCAAGCTTTACAAACTCGATAGAATGGGTCATATGACGATTGATGTTCAAGGCAGTGCTAGATATGACCTAAGTTCTGATTGGTTTTCGTACGTCACATCCGAAATGCGCAACCAATCCTGAGCTGGGTATTCCGCATTTCTATGACGTTCATCATTGATGTGGATCGCTGGCCAGCTTTTTCGTTATGCGCATGTACTATTGAACAAATTTTATACTTTTTTAATTTATTTCATAAAAGAGTAGTGAAAAATGTACAAAGTAGTTAAAAGTTTATAAAACTATCCTGTTCTTAATTTAATGAAATATAATTTAATGTAATTTTTATTATATTAACAGAACGAATTAATAAGTTTGAACATTGACTATTCTAAAGTGTTGCATGTAAAAAAAACCTAATTTAGTAATTTCATTACAGTCAGAGTATCCGACGTTAATTGAATATAAAATTGTTTTAATGATTACCTATTTCTATAAGTCTACTGAGCTGACTTGAAAGAACTATCATTTTTCAGATTTTGGAAAATATTTCAATTCAAACTTTCAACCAAGACTTTCATATTTAATAGGTAACATTTAGTCACTTTCAGTGCTTAATATAAAAATGAATGGAGAAGTACATTAGATATGTTATATTTGCGTTTATAAACAAACGACTTGGTAATGTTAATAAAAATCCTTTTCTCAGTTAAGTGATCAAAAAATATAATTGTCTATTCTATTATGGGAGTTTTCAAGGAATAAACAGTACACACTAAAACAACAGGCGGCAATCTTGTCATATTTCAAATTTATCGATTCAAATAGCGCGGGAATATAGAATTTTCTTAGAATGGAACAAAGTTATATGTTTTTAAAATGTCCAACAGATTTTGACACACGTATTTAGTATTTGTAACTATATAGGTGTGTCAAAATCTGTTTCTCTATAGTACCTCGTGTGCTCATAAGTTTTGAGACGAAATAATAGTTGCGATTTTTTTTAATAATCTTGAAAAATCGTTGAAAAGTGAACATTAAAATCATATTTCAGTATTCTGTTCACTGAAACGCGCGAAATATTAGTCTGCAGAGCGAGTTTCTTCTGAGTGCGACATGGATTTTGGCGAAGTCGCTCTCGGATGATTTGGATGTTCGTAGGCGTGCTCACAAAGCGTGGCCTACCACTCCTTTGGCGATCTTGCAGGGAAATTAACTATTTGTACCGCTATATTTTGTAATAGACGAAGTTACGATTTACGATACAAATAGTTTACATTCCAAATTCAAAATCTGTAAAAAAATAAAAATAATATTATATTTTATTTTTTTCATTAAAAAGGTTGTCTCAAAACATATTATATTACTCTTTGTTCAAACTTTATGAACACACGAGATATAAGGATGTGGGAGGTGCAGAGTACCGTTATTCATTATGAAAATTTTTGAAGACAAATTATCTTCATAAGAACATTTGGTAATGAGAAATATATTATAGGTATATATTAAGTACTTCAACATAGTGAAATATCATTTTTTACTAAGCTCTTGCATAAATGTCTCAACCTCTTCATCTATATGTCACCCTCATATGATGGAGCTTTTGTAAGTGTAAGAACCATTTTTATAATGAGTTCAGTAGTTTCAGAGCCTATCAATGCAAGCAAATTAGCAAATTTATGTATTCAAGAAAGTTCTACTCAAATCCGACGGAGAAAATAAATGTATTATTTACTCATATTATTTTTGACGATCTCATACCAGAGATTTGTCCTATTTCTCTTTTGCTGACATTTATGCGTATTCGCATTATTTTTATATTTCACTAGCTTTTCGCCAGCGGCTTCATCTGCGTGGTCTTGTATTATATATAAAAATCTTCCTTTTGAATCACCCTATCTATGAAAAAACCCCATCAAAATCTGTTGCGTAGTTTTAAAGATTTAAGTTTACATAGGAATATATGGACAGAGAAAGTGACTTTATTTTATAAATCACTACATAAGTGATTTGTATTTTACATGCGTAATTTTATAATACATCCTTACTAGTAATGAGTTTAATATCATTGCTTACTAGCTCTAAGTCGCACAAAGTGTGCGGTGCGTGCGTTTAAATAAGACTGACTATTTTGACTGATTATTTTGTGGTTTTAGGTGACTGAATGCTACACACATTTTTATTAATAAGGAACCTACTTCTTTTTTAAGTCTAGATTGTACTAAAACAAACATGTTAAAGTACCAGTTAAGCAAATGCACGGTGCACCCCTTGGAAACTGTTCTATGACGTCGTAACTTTAATTATAAGCTGGTGCTTTAAGTCATTATCTAACCATTGCTAAATGATAACTCATTATTATTTGTTTAACCGGTACTTTATTTGTATACATAATATCATATAATTATACTGGATGAATCCCAATTACATAGTTATGTATGAGTTAATTCAAATTCAGACAAAATAGTTTTTGTATACATATTCGTTCCCAGTGTTTATGTCAAATCAAATCTTCAATATGATATGAATAATATTGAAACTATATCTTTCAGTGGCTCTATAATTAAAAATCGTGAAATATATTTTAGCCGTCTCAATAAGGTTGCCAGCCATTGGTTTAAGTATTTTTTGTAAAATTTAATCTGGTAACACTGACATTAACGTCAAAGCGTGTTGTCAAAGTCAGTTTCACGTGTTTTTTATTTTGGTTTTATTAGTGTAGTTTTGAAAATTCGGTTCAGATGAATTCATAAGCTTCTAAAAAGTCTGTGATAAGCTTCATTGAAATCGTTTGTATTAATTGTTATGTAAAGATATTATTCAATTTACTAAGATGAAATTTAATTATAAGGTATGTATGGATTCCCACTTTTCTGTTACATTCGTTTTTCATAGAAGTCTTTGGCTTTTATTATTAACGAAGCTCACATTAGAGAATTCTCATACTTATATTATTTTATTCTTAAGTTATTTTAACTTATACTTATAGTTCTAATAAAAAAGGTTCTCGTATATTTTTGTACCAAAACATAACCTATATTTTTGTTGCAGTTTCAGAATTTATTAGGTACTGTGTACAAGAAAGGTGATATTTTATTTACAAATGATGGAAATAGTGTTATAAGCCCAGTAGGTAACAAAATTACCATTTATAATCTCAAACAGTGAGTACTTCTTTTATAAACAGTAAATATTTATTAAAATTATGTGTACTTATGTTTGTCAATTAAATCTTTTTTATTTTAATTTCTTATCTCTTAAAATCAAGTTTTTGTATCCTGACATACACGAGATTAATAAATTGGTATGTTGATGATATGACATTGACTCAGATAATTGGTTTTAAACATCTTTCTCTTTTCTTTTTCAGAAACAAGAGTAACACTTTGTCGGTGGAAAGTAACTTTAATTATACAGCAATCGATGTGGCGCCCAATGGATCAGTTTTGCTTGCTATTAATGAAAGTATGTGTAAACTGTCTTACTTTGTTTCTAATCACTGTTGTAATGTAACTCATCTTAAAATTTTAGTAACTATTACATGAATTTTTAAACTTTTTGAAATGTTTATTATGGTAGGTACTTAAGGTTTATGTTTTTCAGAGGGTGAAGCTCAGATGATCAGTTTACAAACATGTGCAGTAATACACAGGTATAAATTTAAACAGCAGGTAAACGCTGTCAAGTTTAGTCCTGATGGGAAATATTTTGCAGCATGCTGCAGTGATACAGGTGAGGTATACTAATTAAGACATCTTTGAATCTGTGACACATCTTTTGAACATGTTAGAGAAATATAATTTTCTAGATATATTTGTTCATAAATTAGGAAATTTGAGTTGCTTAAACTAAAATTCTTTTTATTAAATTTGATTAATATTGCATTCACAATGCTGTACTGAAAAATAAATCCACTTTGTCCCTGGCACCTTTTGCGATCTGAACGACTGCTCTAACTACAGAGGAACCCTGTAGGCCAATTCTGCTAACGTTTACGTAATAATAGTGTGTCAATAGGATGTCAACTACTCGCATTTTGCCCTTGTACTATCTACCTGAACTCCAATATTATTATATATCTGACTCAATTGATGTGTGAGGAAGACATTGAACTAATAACATTGAACTTTATGTAGATAGTACAATGGTAAAATGCAAGTCGTTGAGATTCTATTGAGATGCGATTATAACGTAAACATTAGCAGAATTGGCCTGCTGGACCTAACAGGACTGATAAATTTTTTGAGCACTTATTACTTTTTTGCTACTACAGAGCATATTTTTATCAATAATCAGATAATCTACCCAAATTGATCAAATAATGATTAGAACCAATTTTCATCTTAATAGAAAGTTTAAATATTAATATAAAAACAATCTTATACAAAGGTTTGGTTATAAAAAAAATGATTTTATTCCAGTGTTTATAATGACAGCACCCTGTTTTTTCACTGGTCAGTTTCGTTCATTTGAAATGAAAAGAGTGTTCAAAAAAGCTCATGACGAAGTGACTTGTCTAGACTGGACAACATGTTCGAGAGTGCTAGCCGTCGGATCTAAAGACACTACAACCAAGATATACACTGTTGATTATTTAGATAATTTTAATATGTATTCTCTCAGTGGCCACACAGATAAAATTGTTGGTACATTTTTTGAGAAAAACAGTTTGGACCTTATAACTGTTAGCAGGAATGGTCAAGTTTGCTTATGGGAAGCCAATATTGATTCCGAAGACTTAGTAGTGTCCCAAATTCAGATATCGCACGCGAAAAGAAGGAAATTTATGAAGGAGGAAGAAAGTGATGATGATATTAATGAAAAACATGTGATAGAGAAGGACAAAGAAGAAGAACCAGTAAGTAAAAATTCTTTCATGATCATTCTATTATTTTTAAAACATACCATCAATTGACACTTTCATGATCAAAGAATCATGTTATTTGCATAGTAAAATTTTAACCAATAATTAGAAAATAATACTAAACTCACCTTGTTTCATGACGCATATTAAAATTGGCCAGACATTAAATAATGGTTGCACTGCCGACTCACTGCTTTCACTATAGATTAATATATATAACCTTGTCTATTACTTTCTTGATGCATTAATTATATACACCGGACCTTGTTAAGAAAGAATGAGTTAAGATGCACTTACAGGTGCAATGTTGATTGTATAATGAGAAGCATCTAGTTCTGGATTTATGCATCAGAATTGATTGTATAAAAGAATCATTGACTATCTTTGGTGGACTGTGTAATCATAGTACCCTACAGTATATATAATAGTCTAATTTCCCATTTATATGTCTCCCAGGAAAGTGAAGATGAAGCGAAGGTGGTGAAAGCTGAAGATGATAAACGTCTCCATTACAAGAAATTGGGCCGGCATTACATAGGCGATGCAATCAGGAAAGCAGACCATAAAGTAAGGTTGACTGCCGCTCAGTACCATAAACAAACCAAAATGCTGGTCACTGGTGAGTTATTAACTATATATGTACTTTTATGGTAATCCATTATATGTAAGACTTATCCATAAAACACTTAAAAAACAGCCGTCAAATGCTTGGCATAGTTATTTGTGGTCCATTCATCAGCTACTAAACTATCACTTGGGTTACTGATCATCATGAGTGTCGGAACTGACAGCTTAACGTGTTTGTGTTTTTTCTTTTAATTTGAATAAACAAACACTTAATAATGGAAAAATTAATTATAAGCCTATTATTTATTTTAAGCCTACTACATAAATTAACCTACTATTTTGACAATGTTGCATTATTTACTATATATTAGCTGTTATGTACAATTAAAGAGTGCATGTTAAGTATAAAAATTCTATGGATAAGGGTTCAATAAAAGGGAACAAACAATACAAGAACTAAACAATGGCGAAAATAGCAAAATTTATTTATTGAACTTTGTTTACTAATACAAGCAATGTGCAATAAGCAGACTTAATAATAATAGTATTCTCTCACAGTCGAGGTTCATATAGATGTTAAAGTAATCGTTTTGTAGGATGTAGCATTAATAAAACAAAAAAAATAATAATTAAAATTTAATTTATTAATTGAAAACAAATTTTACTTAAAATATGTGAAATAAATTTTTTGTTATTATATTATGTTTTTTATATTATCTGACTGACGAACTAAATGGAATTTCTTTTTTTTGTAAGAATACAAAAACACACCAACAACCATGAGACTCCTAGCCCACCGACAGTGAAACTGTTAATATAGTTTTGTGGGGCTTAACATTATGTAATTTTTTTAACGAAAAGAATTAATGAAACAACTCTTAACCGTTTTATTCGCATTTCTATTTAGCTTTATTGCTGTTTCGGACCCTTTACAGTTTCCGTGCTTACATAAGACTTAAGGTGCTGATTGCCTTCAAACCCGATGGAACCGTTTAAATGTCGTTTCAATAAAATCGTCGTCGTGATAATATCAATATGAAAAGAATGAATTAAATGATGTCAGGTATACATAGATATAATAATAATAATAAACTTTATTTGCATTTCCAACAACACATTCAAATTATAACTGTTTAAGGTTAAATATACTAAAACAAATAAACCAGAAAGCAACAGAAATAAAATTAAAAACAAGAAATATGTCGGGTCGTGTGCTGCAGCAATGCAAAAGGGTCAAGGCTCAGGATACGATTTGCCTACAAGGAGACAAATCCCTGATATTCTGCCATAACCCTGAGCATGAGACGCCAAAGCGCCGTATATTAAAAAAAGAGAAACATAAGATATATCGTGTGCAGGTTTCTCTAACGGCACGTTCTTCCTGCACGAGTTGCCGGACGTGACGTTGGTGCACGCGCTGAGCGTGTCCGCGCACCGCATCGGCAGCGCCGCGCTCTCGCCGCAGGGGGACTGGCTCGCGCTCGCCTGCCCGCACGTCGGCCAGCTGCTAGTCTGGGAGTGGCAAAGTAACATTATACCTATATATAATATATCATTATTGACTTATATATATTTTCTTATCAATGAAGGAAGTATTTAAAAAAAAACGAATGCACTAAAAAAGCACCTCCACTAGATGGCGACTCTAGTAAAAGTTGATTTTTGCAGGAAACTTTTAACTAACATATTGAAAATCTGAAATTTGGAAAGTTCGAAACTTAGATATCAATGCAAATACGTGTTTATTGAGTTTTGAAAATTAATTTATTTTTAAACATGAAAGAAAACCGGAAGGGTTGTCGTGGAGAAATCAAGAACGTACCGTAGCGACATCTTGTTTGATTTCGGGAACTAATTTTTTTTTTAAATACTTCCTCATTGTTTTCGTATTACACAGTCGTTTACTTGATGTGTGATTGTCAATATACTTCAGCTTGGTGTAACTCGGTGGTGGGTTACCGTAATATTACTATTTCGCTCGTGTTTCGAAAGGCACGTGAAGCCGTTGGTTCCGCCTGCATTTGCAGTCGTTAATACCCTCCGATCTGCATTGGGCCCGCGTGGAGAGCATGACCCTCCTCCTTAACCATCCATGAAGAGGGCCTGAGCCCCTGCAATGGAGATGTAAAAAGACTGATGTTGCAGCCCGATGATATCTAAAAACTTATAAATATAAATCGAAAATAATGTGAATCTTCAAGTTTGTCTTCAAAACATCAATTAACAAATTGAAGAGGTTGAGCTCAGAGAAGTCTTTATTACAATTGTTGGTGGAGTGTGTAACTAATTATGTGTGTGTGATTTGCGGAACTCTACGATATTAAAAGATTACTAATATTCCATACTAATATCAAAAAGAAATAGTTTCCAACTTTGTTTGTTTGTAGGGAGTAATCTTTTGATAACTTCAGATTACTGATCCGAAATGAAAATTCTTTCACCTACGGGAAGCTACATCATATGCGGGTGACCTCGGGTATTAGGCGGATGAAATTGCGGGAAAACAGCTAAATATTAGTTGATGTTTCTTATTTATAAATATGAACCTATGACACTTTGTAGGGAGGGTTAGGGTTGAGAAATTTTACAATAACCATAATGGTTTGTGAGTAATTAATCAAAATAGTTTTTGACTTGCGATATCCCATTCTCTGTCTCTATCTGATGATTCCATTTGGATTTCGTTCATCTTTAATGCTTTAAATGTCATTACAACGTAAAAGGGAATACCGGTAGTTCTTAGGGTCTATTTGATAAATTTCTATCTTGCCACAGACCACCCGCTTTGTATCATATCGTATCTATGATTAAAACCACCGCTATGGGGACCACCGAATGAACTAACTGTATCTTTTGGTTTTCCACGTGTGATCTGGATTGAGATTTTATTTGACTAATTACTGGATCCCAAGCCGTTGGTGTATGCCAACCTTCATCTGTATTAAAACTCGGATGTTTTTTTAATTTCAATAGCCTCGCGTACCATCAAAGCTGACCAAAGTTTTTGCGTTTTGTAGGTGAACAGTATGTGATGAAACAGCAGGGTCACTCGCTGGACATGACCTGCGCTTCCTACTCGCCGGACGGGTTGTACATAGTGACCGGCGGTTACGACGGTAAAGTGAAGGTGTGGAACTCGACCAGCGGGTTCTGTTTCGTCACGTTCAGTGAACACAAGTCGACAGTGACCGGGATCACATTCAGTGCCAACAAGAAGTTCTTCGTGTCGTCGTCTTTGGATGGGACGGTGCGGTGTTACGATCTCACGAGGTGATTTTAGTTTTTTTTTGCCATTTGGGAAATAATGAGCGTAAAGCGAAATCTAAGTTTTTTATCTTTCATTCTATTCTTGCATTCTAGAGCTGAGGATATCAGCAATCTCTGATGATGATATAGACCAGATCGATCAAGTAGTTTTACTTTAAATTTCCAAGGTTATTGATAGGTACAGTGATAACGGCAAAACGGTATACATGTGATCGAGAGGGATCATGTAGAGAAGGGAAGAGAAGGGAAAAATTAACTGATACATCAGATACATTTAGGCTTCTCTAGCTCATTTGATATTGATACAAAACAGAAGAGTAGACAGTAAACGAAAATAAATATGTATTATTACTTTTTCTGGTTCTGGTAGTGTTTAATATACTTTTACCCATAATAATACTTTCATACTTATTATATTTATAGTATTGCTTAAATTAATAATGGAAAAACAAATATTTTATCTTCGTTCGGTCCAGTGGGACCGCAAACAGTGCGTGACGTCACGCCCTTCTTAGTTCCTTGAAAGAAACTGTGAAATAAAGTATCTATTTTTAGACTCTCTCCAACCCATAAACGGTTTTCGTTTACGTCGACTCCCGGGCATTTGCCCCCGAGGGGGCGACGTCAGTTTGGGAATGTCTGATGTATCACAGGTACCGCAACTTCCGCACGCTGACGTCCCCGAGCCTGGTGCAGTTCAGCTGCGTGGCGCTGGACGGCGGCAGCGAGCTGTGCGCCGCGGGGGGGCAGGACGTGTTCGACGTATACCTCTGGTCCGTCAAGTTCGGGAAACTGTTGGAGGTACGCTCGGCCCGACGAGTATATGTCAAATATTGTTAATGAAGAATACTTTAAAAATTTCTGGCACTCTGAGATGGGACTCGAATCCATGACCTTTCCCAATCCTGTTGGCTCTAACCGTTGAGCTATCCAGGACCTGCCCTGCGATTCTGTAAAAATCCAGACCCGAATTCGAATTCACTCATGTCTCCGAATTCTCGTCATTTAGTAAAGAAATCCTATTGATTCCATTTTTGTATAAAAATACTAACCAAAATTGATTGATTAAACGTGTCTTAGATATTTTAATCCTATATCATTTTGAAACTCACTTCACTTATGCCACGAAACATTATTACCAATTCAAGTTTGAGCGGATGCTGCTTTTTAAAGTGAATTCGGACTCCAGAGTGGATTCGAATTCGGGTTTGAAGTTTTACAGAATCGCAGGGCTGACAGGACTGACGAATCTTTCAAGCACTTGTTACTTTTTCGCTGCTACAGAGCGTATTTTCATCAATGTTCAGGCAATCCACCCAAACAGGCGAAAGAAAAACTATGTAAGCTTAGTTATCATAAAAAGTTTACATTTTTTTTTTTCGTTTTGATTGGAAAATTATATCGGCTGAATGATTCGCTATGTAACTTGCCTTTCTGTTATTAGCCTGTCGAAGCGCTTCGGTTGTAGTGTGCCCCATCACCGCTGGCATAATAATAAGCTAAATAATAAATGGAAAATCTTTTAAACGGTTTCATCGCGTTTGAATTATTCTTTTATTGACGTTTCGATCCCTTTACAGGTTCCGTGTTCACATAAAAGTAAGGTGTTGATTGTTTTTTTAATTAAGAGTGTAGCTACTTTCAAAATAATACTATTGTATACATTACTATTGGATATAGTGCGCGTGAAAATATAAAAAATCAATATCGATTGTATAGTTTTGTAGCTATTTCATTACACAAAGCCTTGATATACCTCTATAGTACCACCACAGCGGTGCGGAGTGTTTGGTCCCTGATGACTAAAAAGCTTAAGAACTTGGTCGATAGTTATCTATTGCAGTGAAATCAAAGTCTAAATATTCTTTATTCAAATAAACCAGTTACAAACACAGAAATAAATCTAGTTAGAAGGAAAATGTTCGTCGATTTATATGGAGACCGAGCGTGCCACATTTTGTGTAGGTATCATGACGTCACGATTTTAATTTAGTGATGGAAGACATAATTTCACTTGCATCGAATACATGTTGTATTTGAAACGGCATACAAATTCTTATCGATTGAAAAAACGATATAGATCGACGGAGACCAACGTGTACCATTTTGCTTAAATATTATGTATATGTCACGAATGTAATTTAGTGAATCGGCGCAAAAAATATTTTATGCGATAGAATAGAAAACGGCATTTTTCTGTGGGCAAACACTTTGTAGTAACCGCTACCCCCTCCCGACACGCTACACATTTTTACATCCTGTTATGTTATGTTTCACGGCGGGCTTTTCCGCAACTTGACACTCAGTGCCTATTTTGCGTGACACGGGGTTGCATTAGTCCTGCCAGCCCAGCTCCTCCAGGAAGCCCGTAAGTTCTCGAACTCTGCCGCATGCTTCCACTAGTGTCCTTGGGCTACTTAGATATGTAGTCCTTTGTCTTGATAGGCTCTTGCATTCCAGTATCACATGAGCGCTTGTCTCCTCTGTCTCCATGCAAGCCCTGCACAGAGGACTGTCAGAATTACCCATGTTGTATAGGTGTTTGTTAAAGTTTCCATGTCCAGTAAGTATACTTACTGCTGCCTCAGAGTCCTGTTGCTTCAATACATTTATTTTTAAAATGAGGATCATATGGAAAACTAAAACAAAAATTACAGTACAATTCAATATAAAAATAAATTATCATTTCTTCTGCTTTCAAAAACGATATTTTTTTAATCGAGTAAAAAAATCGCATTGCACAGCGCTATTCTCCATTTTTGACAGAAAAAAATGATAATTTGTCCTTCAACAAATTGACCTTGAATTATACATCGATGGTTTTACAAGCACAGCGAATTTGGACTGTCAAATTAAAGCCGCGATGGAAAGCTATTACTAGACACGTGATCGTTTTGATAAAAATAATACGGAGCAACAAAACAAATGGTTTTTAATTCAAAATAGATATATCAAGACAAATAGTTACTTACCGATGGAAGGACTCGACTATAAGATCCAACTATATTGGTGGTGTTTGAGTAGTTAATTATCGAACAACGCGTCATTTAAAATTTCACACCTGACGTCCAACACCGATTGCGATCGAAAGTGGACCGAGCCTCGCGGCGAGCAATAGAGCTGTCTAGACGTCGTTTCGGCACGCGAATTACGTACACTTTTTCCTTCTAACTAGATATATTTCTGTGGTGACAAATCAGTTTCTGTTTCTAATGTGGATAATCAATTTGAATAATTTGGTGAATAAAGGCAAATAAATATCTCAATTTGATAATTAGGTATTTGTAAAGAAACAATTCTGAACTTTAAAAATATTCAAAATGAAAGAAGTATGATATACATTACTTTAAAGTAGGTACAGAAACTATTTTCTATACAAGTACATGCTTCATACTCTATCCCTAATCTATGTGCACGCCACGGCAACCAACTTTCCAGAGGCGGCTACGCGGCCTCCGGACCACTGTTATAAATTTGGCAACACCCTACAAAGGTTTTCGCGGGCTGCAGGATTAAAGTCATATGACTGTAACGAGGGAATCCCATAATTATCGATGTATATACGATTAAAATTCGCATAGCTTATACAAACATTTTTTTTCTTATCTGAAAAATCTTTACCGTACATAAGGGCCCCCAAACAAATTTTATACGGGGCCCCGCCAAAACGCGCTACGCCACTGCAACTTTCCCTGTATGTGCGAGTACTTTGCTTCTATAAGACTAATAATATATTTATAGCCTCTACAATTGCAACATTATGTTCTAATGAATGTATTTCTGATGTTTTCAGGTGTTAAGTGGTCACGAAGCCCCCGTGTCATGTTTAGCTTTCAATCCGTCCCTCGCCAGTTCCATGTTGGCGTCAGCGAGTTGGGACAAAACAGTGAGGCTATGGAACGCCATAGAAACTAGCACAGATAGCGAGACCATACCGCTTACTTCTGATGCTCTGCAAGTGGCTTTCAGACCCGACGGTGGAGAGGTGAGCGATTCTTAACCGTATTATAGTTATATAAGGTTGAAATTAGAGTATTTTAAACGAGGCACAATACTAATTTTTCAATTGATCGTTCTTTTTGTGTCTTGTGTTTCTAGATGTCGAACGATAATTGCGTTTCCTTTATAAGCTTCTAAAGACATTGATCAAATATGGTTAGTTTCGTTTCGTAACGGAATCAAATTTGTATCAAAATAGCCGGAAAAATTATATTAATCCGGAAATTTTGTAATAACTTTTTTCATTCTCTTGGGAAATTGCTAGTATTAAATTTCTTTATTGAATATTAAAATCTTAATTCGATAATAATCGATACTTCGATAACTATAATGAGAAAGCAGGTACAATGTATTTTTTGACTGGTTTAAACAACATCTACCTACGTTGCCGTACAGAAGTAACAGAAGTAAAAAAATAAATAAATAGCATGATAAAATAACCTAATTGATGAACTTCATTAGCCTTTTATGTTCCACGGATGCGTTCCATCGAACTAGACATAAAATTATTTGTGGTTGATTGTCCACTTTTGAAGCCTTATAGGCTATGGATAAGATATATAGGAAAGTTATGTGAAGGTACAATGTAATACGATCTGAAACTAAATTCCATACTTCGATGGGCACATTTTTAAACACCTAAGGCCTTATTATTTGTAGTTATACAGAGTTTTGTCTTTCGCACTCGAACAGAAAGTAACATCGGATTTCTAAAAAACGGTTATATATTACGTATCCACACCAATATTGTAAAGAGAAAAGATAGGATTGTTTGTTGTACTGTACCGATTTTAAAAATTCTTTCACCTATGGGAAGCTACGTCATATGTGGTGAACATAGACTATATTTCATCACGAAAAAAGATGGAAAATGGGAGTAGAAGTTTGTATATGGAAATAAAACGTTTCCATGGTAACCATTGTTACTATGAAAACGTTTCATTTTATCTTAATCCAAATAAACAGTTCCTTAGGGACCACGCGGGTTATGCCGCTGGCGGGAAGCTAGTCTTAACTTAGTAGTATAAATTACGTATAGACTTAAGCGATTTAAGTTATTTTTGAGCTAATAATTAGCTCAAGAATAAATTAAGTCGCTCTCGTTGAATATTTGTTTGATAGTTCAAAGGCCTTAAGATCTTTTCATATTTCTATTATTAACCCCCCACAAAGTGTTCTTCATGTTAAGGGTTGTTTGTAGATTTTTTCCCAATCCAGTATTAAGTAACGTGTCCATTATTCCTATGAGAATTTAAATTTATCTATTAAATTATGATATTATAAATCGTTGTTGAACAGATAGCCGTGTCTACGTTGGACGGGAATATACTGTTCTTCGATCCGTTGAGCAGTGACCAGACCGGCAGTATAGAAGGACGGAACGACCTCGGCTCCGGACGCGCCGATACAGATCTCGTTACTGCCAAACAGTTCCTCAAAACAAAGTTAGTATTTAACGATAAAAACACTGTTTTTAGTCTATTATTTACAGTTATTAATAATGTAATAATAATTTTCAGAGCGTTCACAACAATATGCTATACGGCGGACGGATCTTGTATATTGGGAGGTGGCAACTCGAAGCATGTCTGTTTGTATAGTATTAGAGAATCGATATTGGTAAAGAAATTCGTCATCACACAGAATCAATCTCTCGATGCGGTTAATGTAAGTACATAAATTAACTCTTATAACAGGGTAGTATTAATAATAATTACTTAAAAATATTATCTCTTTCATTTAGGTAATTTTGTTAGTCAGTTTCTGGATAAGATAGTGACTTTTTCATATTTAAATTAGAAATCCGTCGATTGTAATCGACACTGATGATAGTATCGTCTAATAATAGCTCGTATTTTTTATATGAATTCATCTTTCCATAAAGGTTTCCTCTTAATTCCACATTTTAAACAATAAATTGACAGCGTACTTCCCACGTATAATATCATAACTGCATTTAACCGTTTATTATTATTTATGAAGTTAACTGTGCCCTCAAGTGTCATGTTAATTCGCACGAGTGACATACAAAGTGTATTGCACGTGCAGGACTTCATAAACCGCCGTTTGCTGTCCGAGTTCGGCAACATGGCGTTGGTGGAGCAGCGGACGGAGCTGGAGGGGGATGACGTCAGCGTGAGGCTGCCCGGCGTCAGGCGCGGGGACATGGCCGACAGGAACGTGAAGCCCGAGGTAGGCAGCCAGGGCCGGATTAGATAGATAGATAGATAATAGGGATGACGACTGGGTAAAAAAAATGCAGTTATTCAAAATGCAATTAGTCTGTCAGTCAGATAGTAGATACATATCGCACACCTAGATCTAAACTAAGACAAAAAACTAATTTGGAGGTCTGATAATACATTTGTTTACATGGCAGGAGCGCAACCACTGTTGATTCAACAAAATAAAGTTAAAGCTATCTTTCGGCTCTTCCCTGAACTTTTTATTGAATCTGTTATGTTGGATAGATGCGTATGTACTGCGATATTAGATACGTATTTTTTTTTTACTTCAATTTAACAAGAAATTAACAGGCATTTAAGTTGAGGAGTGGGGGCTCGCTACGTCATAGTTTAGTAGAAAACGTACCATAACGTGACGTCATGCGAAATTTCAACTCCATGTAACGCCGTAATTTTATGATTACGAAAAAAATAAAGAAATTCGTGTTTATTATTTTCTAACACTCTACCAGACGGACAAACAAACAAAAATTAGTCGTCATCCCTATTAATTTATTTGCATTACAAATCAGCACACATCATCATCATCAGCCCTTTTGCCAATGCCAATGAATGAAAAACATTAAATTGAATGTAGTTAAAAACATCATAAATTTTAAATATTATTCTCAGACTATTTTTGCTAAATAATAATTATTTATTAGTTTAAATGGATAAATAAAAAAAAATTTTGTAGTCTGTGTCTCACGTCAAATGAAACACATATCAGAGCGTGTGACGTAATTTGTGGGTAAATTGGTAGTAAAACTGTCTAGGAAAAGCGCGCGAAACATTAAAAATGCAATTATTTTTATTTTTTATAGGTTATAAGGGTCGTTTTACTGTTTTGTTTATTTATGAAATTAAATATAAGTGTTGCAAACAACGAAAAATTGATTTATAACTTTTTCACTGAAAATCTCCTTTGTTAAACCACAAATGACGTCAGTCGTCGTTTGCGTGGTTTTTTAAATGGTTAAATTTTAAAGATAGTTTTGGGTATATATTTATGGAAAATAATATTTTTATATAAGCATCCATAAAGATTAATTTAAAACACTTTTTAGAAAGTTGACCGACCCCTTATTGGGAGCTTCACTATGGTTGACCAATAAATTATGTTTTTCGTCAGTGTTAAAAAAATGTAAGAAAAAAATATATGAGCCATGCTTCTGCCTTAACTCACATTTCCAAATATAAAAACATAAAATTAAAATCGCAAATTAGTTTTATTGTGTTATTCGGAAAGCAAAGGACGAATTTTCTGTTTCGTTTGCAAAGTTACTGATACCGGTTATTCGTCAGCATCATCACGAAAAATATATTATGTGATTGGTCGAATGCCCAGAATTTTTTGAAAAGCCATAACTTACCATTATTTTGTCATTAAACCTTAAGAACAAAGAGGCACGTGTCAATACTCATATTGAAAGTCAAATTGAATCTGATTAGTTGTATTGACGGTTACTTTTACAATGAAATCAAACCTGAGGTACACGCATATATATATACAGGGTTATTTGTAATACACAACCAGGATCCGTTATTATCAAGATAATTGCTGCCAACAACTATTTTAAAGACAGAAAGGCATTTGTTATTGAGTCAACTTATTCTATAACAAATATAAAAACATAATAAACAAGAAAAAAATAATTGATAAATAAAAAGGGAGCTACTACATCCTAGTCAATTTCTCCATGAGAAAATATAAAATATAAATTTTTGTATTAACATTTCATTATGTGAAATGTGAAAAAGACTTAATAGAATTGTCGTACCTACCTGCATTCACTGCGTGCGCTTCTCTCCGACGGGTGGACGGAATTATCAAGATAATTAATGCCAACAACTTTTTAAAAGATATAAAGGCATTTAAAACAAAATAAACAAGAAAAAAATAATTTATAAATAAAAAGGGGGCTTCAATATATTTTATTTTTATTTTTATAGGTCCCAGACAATTTCTCTACGAGAGAATATATAAATTTTGCATTACCACTTCATTATGTGTAACGTGAAAATGATTTAAGTCGAATTGTCGTACAGGTGCGCGTCCACTGCGTGCGCTTCTCCCCGACGGGCGACAGTTTCGTGGTGGCGGCCACCGAGGGGTTGCTCGTGTACAGCCAGAACGCCGGCATCGATGGAACGTTCCGGTACGCGCGATATCGATTCATATCATGACATTCAATAGTGAACAATGGTTACCGTGGTAACGTATTAATTACGTATACTCATATCATGACATTGAATAGGAAACAATGGTTACCGCGGTAACGTATTAATTATCTATACTCGTACCATAACATTGAATAGGAAACAACGGTTACCGTGGTAACGCATTAATTCCCTATACTAGGACCATGGCATTGAATAGTAAACAATGGTGACTGTGGTAACGTATTAATTACCTACACTCATATCATGACATTATCCGTCGTAGATTTAGATATCAGATCTACGATTTTTCATCTACCAACCTATGCCCGTCTGATGATGATTGAGTTAATTTAGCTATCGCCAATATAACAATTTTGGACACAATTGTCTTACGCTTGTGTCCGTAATTGTTTACTCGCTTTTCATATTTGAGCAATATACAGGGTGTTCGGCAAAACATTGAACATAAGAAAATGGATAGTAGGTTGTTTAGCCAACTATCTAATGCCCTAAAGATTTCACCAAGACGACAAACAATTTGTTTTTTTTTTTCATTTTGTAATATGGAAGAACCTTTATGATCCCTCATGGTTTATAAATCACAAATTAATTTTACAAAAAAGTGTATTTACTCGTACAAATGATTTTAACACCCACAATCGTGTCATCTTTTGAAATATGTATAATAGTCTGTTTCTTCACGGAACAATGTTCGAATCTGTTATTTTATCTGTTTCGCTGTCCCTTATAATCGATTTTATTGTTGCAGGCCGTATCGTTTAGAGTCTGGTTGTACTCCGGTCGCTGTGAGGGACTCCCTCAAACGAAGGTCGTGGGGCGACGCCCTCGTGGGAAGTTTACAACTCAACGAACTAAATCTCATACAGGAATGTGTCGAAGCGGTGCCGCCTACTGATGGTGAGTACATTATTCTCCCTCGCCAGGGATTCTCAAACTATTTTTGGGAAGACTGGGTGTCTTGCCAAAGTAAATTCTTATTCTTACCTCAGATTCCCATAGCCAAATTACTTTAAAAATCCTATCTCATTTTTTCCTATTGGCACAAAATACTTATACATTATTGTCCACTCTTATTGACATGCCTAGTTTTTCCATTTTGTACAAACGCCAGGTTATAAAAATCAAGTTAAATTTCTTCACTTGATTTTAAACCTTAATGTATTGACGGTAGAGTTAAAAAAAAATCAATTGCGAAATTTGACTTATTGTGGTAACATGATCTGCTGTTATACAACAATTATTCAGCATCTGGCGTTCTTAGAATAAGTCTGTACACCCAATACGACTTATAAAGTATGTTGAACTAACATTTTAAAACAATTTCAAACTAAGAGCTTGTGTTATTAAATAAACATCAATTCTTAGACCTCGTTGGTCCTAAAAATCAGTTTCCATTTATGTATCCCCTGGGAAACAAATTTAAACCCCTCGGGGTTGACAACGACCACTTTGGGAATGCCTAACCCACATTTTTTTTCTAATATGACATCATGTGTTTTTTTTTTGTAGTTGAACTAACAGTGTTGAGTCTCGACAACGACTACGCTGATAGACTCCTCAATTCAATAGCGCGTTTATTAGAGGACAGTCGACATCTGGAACATTTAATATTGTGGGTGAAACATTTGGTCACGGGCAATAATAGAAAGTTTGCACCGAGCGTACTTCTGGCTCTAGAGAAAGTGCTGACTGTGAAGTACTCGCAGCTGAGTAAGATGTAAGTGAACATTTTCCATATATTTTGTACAGCTTTTGCCAAACCGGCAAATTTCTTCAATCGATATAAGCAGCGTTACGCAAGTAATAACCTACGTTATGATTATCACCGCATTTAAAGTCCTGTACCAAACTTACTCTTTGGTATTAAGTCCGCCATTTGTCTATTTTACTAGACAATTAAGATTAAATAAATAAATATATCGATCTTGCTCTATTTACATTCAAATTCAATCCAAGAATTTGTTATGTTGCGGTAGCCTGATGTGCTGTTGTGTATTTTGTATGCTTGTTTATATAATATTAAAAAAACAGATAAAATATCGCCTACAAAAGTACTCAAAAACCGCCCAATACTGGCATATAGAGACGTACCTATACATATTTTGATGTCCACAAGTAACCTAAAGTAAACTTTAATGTGTTTCTCTTAAGACTCAATTCGTATAACAAAGTTGTAATAAGTCCCGTGGTGTGTGAGATCTCGACAAAAGGGATAATGGGTAAAATATTTTTTGGCCATAAGGGGAAAAAAATTACATCCCTTGAAAAGAATAAACACTATTTTTGAAATTTTTCGCATAATCAATAATTTGCATATATACATTAGGGTCGAAATGTCAGATAAAGTCACATCTTTGTACCTAAATATTCTACAAGGTTGTGACGCAGTGAGCGCCATTCCTCAACTCATTAATGGTCATTATATAAGTAAATTTTTATTTTAAGTAAAAAATACGAGCCCAATATTTTAATATTGACCCTATTCAATTATTGAAATAAAATAGCTTTGCAAGTTTCACTATTTATTTATATTCGAAGCATATTAATATTACTACTAATATGGTAACTCATCCGTTTTCAAGACCAAAAGCGTATTAATATTGCACTTTTTCGACAATGTGAATGGCTAAAATTATGTATTGTTATTTTTAGATCTTGGCCTTAATGACGCGTAAAATATTGTGAAGGGTTTATTTATTTAACTGTTCTTCTTGTCAGCTAAAAGACGTCCTGAACAAGTGGTAGGGGGAAAAAAACATTTTTGTACATGTGCTTGTAATAAGCATTTCATTTCAATAGAAAATTGTATTAAAAAATAAAATTGTCTTTTTCACTCAATTTCAAAGTTACAATAAAATGATTGAATAGGCTCCATATTGTATAATAACCTTTATAAACTGCCCTGTAACTCGGTAAAAATCCAGAATTATGGATTTCACTCATATGTTTAGAAACGCAGGGCTGGTCTTTAGTGTATTAGTAGTTGACTTATTATATAAATAGTATTTTATATATGATCTGAATATACCTAAAAGATAATTAAATGTAAAATAAAATAAATCAAGGAAACAGTTGAAGGGAATCGTTTTAGAGATCTTTTGTGATAAAACTATGTCAAGATATATTATCAAGATTGATGACACAACACCGATAACTCACTTCGTTTATATAATACAGTCAAGGTTATTACACTAAATATATTTATACACTAAATTTTCTCACTTAATATCTGTTTTATATTTAAAATTAATATTATATTTATAAAATATGCTCTGTGCCTCCTTCAATTCAAGTATTGTATTTTTCTCGTAATTGTATCGGACGAATTTCTAACCGAATTACCAGAATATTACTCAGTTTTAGGGTTAGAGGACAAGACTTTGTAATTATATTAAGTCGTTTTTTATTTATTTTAGATGCGACTTTAATAAGTACACAATAAGGTGTATAAAAACAGTCGCTGAGACGGCGCCGAAGCGGGAAGACGACGAGGATATGGATGTGAGCGATCATTCTAGTGGGCGCGGCACATTCTCTGATACAGATTAAATGTCATAAAAAAATGATGTATTGTTTCATTTTTAAATGCGTTTTTCTCATTTATTAAGTCTACCACCACCAAAACATTTACAACTACACACACATACTTACAAATGTACATATTCAACCTTTGCTGAAGTATATAAGGTCGATTTGCACATGTAGTGATAGTTGTATATGTCATTTTACTGACTCGAATTAGAAAAACGTTTGAAGCAGACAGTTGAGAGGATACTTTTTGAATTCAAACACAGGTACATTGGCTGCATGAAGATCAATTAGTCGCGCTGGAAATCTTTACAATATAACTCTGGAATAACGTGTCGGGAATCTATATTTGGGTCATTACACTATTATGTTACATATTACTAGTTTTTTTTTTAATTGGGCAGAGCGACCTATTCTCATGATGATTGAACGTATGGTTAATAAAAAAATATGATCAGTTTTGTTTAATCAACCCTAAAATTTAGAATTCAGTGTAAAATAAAAGGCATTAAATTTACGAGTCGGGTCACTTTCAGTGGAGGTCGGGCGTGCTAGTTGAATAATTCTGATTTGTCTCTCTTTGAAGTTTAGAGATCGGTGAGTTATTAGCGTTACATATGTAAGAAAGGCGACTCAGAAATTACATTTCTGAGTTTTAGATGAATTATTTAATTCTTTATGATTGACAATAGCGTTTTATTTTTTTTGTTAAATCTAATTTAATCTTTAATAATATAGGTATTTTAAGTGTATTTAGTTTTCTTTAAAATATTAAGGCAATTTTTCAAATTAACTCCGGAGATAGGTATGTACTTAATTTTCGCTTACCCAAACTCCTAAAATTCTCATACAAATAGAATTTTCCGCATTCATCAGAACGATTATGTGTTAAGCAGAGTAAATACATCTATGTGGTTTAAGGGTCGTTTAAGTAGGCATTACACGGTATTACGTAATTACCAAAGGGTTTTGAAGGCTTTGGTTTGCCTATTTTTGATTAATGCCCGGAGATTTTGCATGGTGATTACTCGTTTTACTTGCAATTTTTATTTATTAGTTTACTTTCGCTCGCAAGTGATTTCCAGCTCTGAAAAGTAATCTCATCATCATCATCATCAGCCCTTTTACGTCCCCACTGCAGGGGCTCAGGCCTTCCTTATGGATGGTTAAGGAGGATGGGCCATGACCCTCCACGCTGGCCCAATGCGGATTGGAGGGTATTAACGACTGCAAATGCAGCCGGGACCAACGGCTTAACGTGCCTTCCGAAGCACGGAGTAGCTCGAGATAATAATTTTTTTTTGGTCACCCATCCCATGACCGACCCTTGCGAAAGTTGCTTAACGACTACGATCGCGGGCCGCGGCGCTAATCCACTACGCCACCGAGCTACCTGTAATCTACTAAAGTAATCTACTTATACTCAACTAACTGTTCCTTCTACTTTGCCCGTGTAAATTATACCCTATGTTACCACGTATAATGTAGCTTCCGTTTTAATTTTTAAAATCTGTCCAGTAGTTTTGGAACCTATTCGACGCAATCAAATAAACAGAGCTTTCCTCTTTATAATATTATCATGTATAAAAAAGTAGACCATGCTAAGTTTCTTGCTGGTAGATTATCTAATGCAAATAGGGAATATGCGTCTGATTCAAAAAAAAGGATAAATATATTTTATTACAATCGTTATTGCTTTAGAATAAAGTCTATCTAAATATTTTTCAACATTAGTTCGTTTTCGTCTTGAAAATAATTATTAAAAAGTGCGAAATAAATGCGGTAACTTCAAAATATTTAAACGCCATGCTACTTGTCAGAGCGGATGTGACGAAAATGTACACGTAAAGGGAAGTCGTTGTTACAAAGAGTTAACATCGATGCAATAACAACAATGTATTATGTCGCAAAATAAACAATTGATTACAATTCAAATGATGTTTTAGGCAATTTTTTTTTATTTCACCAATTAAGTAAATTATATAATTTATTAAAAAAGTCTATTATACTTTAAAAATCGATTAGTTGTTAATCGCTTTAGGTAATTGAATAATAATCAATCACTCAAAACCCATATTGATTAAAATGTCATATCTCTAGTCGTGTACTTTGACGTCACGACGAACGCGCCAAAAATTCCGGTGTTTAAACTGGTCGTAGCTATTACTTATTTTCATCAATGATTAATGTTACAAAATTTTAGTTTTTCGATGCCGGGTATTTTTTTACAGTTTGTTATTATCATATAAAACCATTTTCCAAAAATGTGCATATTCCCTATTCTACTCTGTTGCTCTGTTGCTACATCACCCGTCGTAGATTTGCGTACCGATGACATAACTGTCGACATTCACACGTGCTTGTAACTAGACTACGACTAAGACTGAATTTTCAATATTGTTAGTATCGGGGTTCGCAAAAATCCGATTTTTATAATATAATATAAAAGATCCTTTAAAATTTTGAAATTTCTAGTAAGTAAGATCGCTACTTGTGGCAATGTTACCAGTGTCACATCGGGTTGGTTAATTTTCAAGCCGATACTCAATACTCTAACTAACAATAAATATCAACTGATATACATTTATTAACGTATATAGCCGTTGATATGACGCGACGATGACTCGGATATTAGGTATGGAAGAAAATGAGCATAGAACAATTTCTAATGGACTTTATTAACATCTATAACGGGAGGGTTGGGATTCAGAATGAAACTAACGGAGTTGCTGTTCCTCGGCCACATGGGCAGCGCGCCGGACCTCGCCAGCGCCACAGCGCTCACTGTCGTCGCCACCAGCGACATCACGAGCAGGATCCAGCGTGCCGCCTCCACGTAACTGAGCAATTTGTGGGAACCCTTCAGCTCGTCCACTACTGAATCGGGCAACGTGGCGCCCTGATGACAAAGTACTTTCATATAGCAGTTTGTTCAATCTACTTATCTGTCTGTTATCATAAAAATGCTGCTGATAAGCGTGTCACTTGAGAATGGAATCGTCTGAAGGGCACACGTTAAAAGTTCCTAAGATGATGGCAAAAAAATCTTTTTTTTGAGAATTATTAAATTGATGAGCAGTTTCTGTGAATCGCTCTGCGTTTATTATAAAAAATGTGACCTAAAAAAAGTTTCTCATCAAAGCCGTACCTTTTAAGACGACATAAATTACATTGATCCCCTAAAACCACTTTTTCTTAATGATAATAGTTTGAAAGATAGACATTTCCAAATTACAAATTAAAAGTAGAGTTTAAGGGTAGACAGGTCATTTCATTTTCATTTTACATTTATTCACTTGACATTGGCAGAATGACGAAGTATTAAAAAAAACGAAAGCACTAAAAAAGCACTTCCTCTAGATGGCGACTAGCAAAAGTTGATTTTTGCAGGAAACGAATGGACTAAAGACAGTCATTTCTGTTCCTTGTAACTACATATTAAAAAACTAAAATTTGAAATGTTCGAAATTTAGATATCAATACAAATACGAAAAGTACAAATAGAATATGAGTTGTTTATTGAGTTTTGAAAATTAATTTACTTTTAACCGTGAAAGAAAATCCGAAAGGTTTTCATGGAGAAATCAAGAACGTACCGTAGCGACATCTAGTTTGATTTCGGGAACTAATGCTCTTTTTAAAATCCTTCCTCATTGTGCGAAATTCGCAGATAAGTCATTAATAAAAGAAGAAGAAAGGTAGACAAAAAAACACAGATAACCTACCTAACCAACCAATAACTTATCAACTTAATTTTCTGCTGTAGATAAGGTCGTTACTACGCAATCCTTCATGATCGAGTCTGACTTACACTTGGCCACTTTTTTTAATTTACTTCTTTACACTATTGATATTGGAACAAAAATATTGTTGAGTTCACCAATTTACTATACTGTACTCTTTGGTTCACCAAATACATACCTCTTCGAGCCACAGTAACGGGAACAAACCAGTTCGTACATTCGCTAACTGCGGAACCGATTCGATCTTCCTTAGTTCGATATTAAACTGCAGTCTGCGCAACCCCTTCAAAACCACACCTGTGACCTGTAACCAGTACTTAAATATATACAGCCTGTTCGGTGATAAGTATGATGTCTAATCCCGAACATGACAGATCTTATTAAAATTGCATTTTTTTAAAGTAAAACTATATGCCGAAAACATTTAATAAGACCAGGGCGTTATTCCCTATAACAATCGATATTTCATACTTGATTCTTACCACGCATGTCGCCCTAACTTATTTGGTTATCGACTTTATGTGATTTTGAATTTGGATTTTATACATATGTAAAAGCACGAAAAAATGGAATAGTCATTATGGAAAAAATGCGGTTCATGTACTCACCGGGTCAAGAAAGATATACGTGTCATGCTTCTCCTTATCTGGGTTGATTCCTCCGCCGAAGTATTCGAGTAGTTCTTCAGAGGCGAGGTAGAAGTGTGGTAAGGAGGCGATGGCCGGAGCATCCTGACAAGGCATCAGGTTCAGAACACCCATTAACAAACATCCATCGTGGTTGGCGCTCCAATTTCTGTGCGTTACAAAAATCTGTGTAAAAAATATAGCCAGTGGTGCGTCATACCACGTGCCTGCGTGGAAAGGAATGGAAAGTAAATAATTATTATATTCATATTCAATCGTCTTCTTATAACGGAGTTTAATTTAGAGAGCAACATTGTCATGGCATAATTAAAATTTTATACAAAACAACAACTGACAATTTATTAATGAAAAATGAATTACTGACGAATTAACTAAAAGCCTTCGTGTCCCGGCTATTCATGTAAGCTCATTTTAATTTATAAACGAAATGAGTTCCTTCACCCCATTTGAACATCACACAGCTACCAAAACGTAAACATTCTTCTTATTATCTTTTGTCATATTAATTTATTATATACTAGTTTTGAGAACTCTACGATACATATGTCTCAGCCAAGTGGTTAAATCAGAGTATTTTACTGTCGTAACAAGGAGTTTTGAGTTTTATGTAAAGTCACCCACAACACGTTTTAATATTTTGTTTTACTTCTGATCCTATTAATTAATCAGGGTATTCCCAATTAATTGACAGTTAATTAGTTGGCGGACTTTTGTTCAGACGTATTTCACCGTTTATACTACAATTTATAGCGATCAGCTACTCGGCTGATCGAATATCAGCCCGTCTAATAAGTCAGGCGGAGGTTTTCTGTAGTGTAGGTTAGCAATTAAATGATAGGCGCTCGACTTCAATATAAATTTATTATAATCTATACTCATATTATAAAGAGGAAAGTCTCGATTGTTTGTTTGTTTGCATTGGATAGGCTCCGTAATTACTGCCCGATTTGTAAAAGTCTATTATCTACAGGAAGCTACATAATACACGGAGGCCATAAGCTATAATTTACGCAGGCGAAGTCGCGGGAAACAGCTTGTTTGATAGAAATTGGTTCACAATTCAAAAAGAAATCGATGAACATACTTTATTTTATTTCGAAATTTCAAGTTCAATATGCATTAAATATTTTGTTTTTTTTTTAGCAATTATCTAAATATTTACGCGATATCTGATAAAAAAGCGTATTTTGTTTTGTTATAAAGATACCTTGGTCCATTATGCTGTCGAGTAAAAAATAATTTAGAAAAGAAACACACATAAAAACATACAATGCCGTTGAAAACATAACCACTTCCTTTTCGATTTTGAAGTCAGTTAAAAAAATTTGCAAAAAGATATATATTTTTACCACAAAACATAGTGTTCTGTGATTTTTACATTCGAAAGTTGTATTTTTATAATTTCATTACTATTTTAATGCAATTCAAAATACTTATGTTATGTATGCTAAATATATGAAAACAACCATTTCAATGTCCCTTATAAATAAATAATCTTTCCGAATTTACGGAGGATTAAAAGCATTAAGTTGACATGGTGAGGGAAATCTCATTTCCTAAGCGTATTCCTTGTAATATGGAAACGGAAATGAGGCAGAAAAAAGAAAACATAACGCCTCTCATTATTTTAAATTGAACACATGTTTTACTTGCTAATTTCAATTATGAGTGTCCAATCATATTGTGGACTTAGGTAGAATATTATTCTTGAGTACCTAAATATCAATAGTGCTATGTCGAACACAATGCTATTAGAGGTAAAAGCTACAAGTGTACATAATAAAGGTGTTATTTAATTAAATTTCTAAGACTGAAACGGCTTTTGTTCGACACTGTATTTGAGACTTTTTACAGAATACTAAAGGAGGACGATAAAGAGAAACTTGTTTGTATAAGTCATAAGTTAATGAGAGATTTTCCAGCCTGAAAATTGGATCCGCTTTCTAATATGTTTTTAATAATCTCTTATGTTTTGTTTAACGGTACGTGCCTACTTTGTTCCGACTCTTTTTTGATAAAAACTTTATTATAATATAAAAGTCCTTTTTCTCAACACAAAAACCCTAGTCACAGTATTGTTTGATATTTTCATGTAAATAACCTTTGTGTCCGCTTTTGTATGTCTAGCTAGGGTTATCATTATCCCACCACATTCTTAAATCTTATATTTGAATAAGATTATGCAGCTCCCATATTTTGTAGCACTTTCATTAGAATGTTTTGGCATAGTGGAACACGTTTATTTACTGTCGGGCACAATATATAAGCAAGTAGATACGCTGTTACTTTAAAGTCTGAGAATAGATGACATAAAAAAAATAGTAAGTTTAAAAAAATGTTATCATTCAGCTGCTTATACACTTCTGAAACTGTATAACATTTTCTTACGTTAGGAAATGTATTAATGGATAGCCGTTCTCCCCAGCGCGGCTAGGTTAACGCTTATAATGTCCAAACAAATGAAGTTACCACAATTAGGGCTTTAAGGTGGTTCTAACGTGGTTTGCCACGCAAATACCCAGAGCGACAAAAAATAGGTGGCAAAATTGAGTACAGGGCAGAGGAGGGTGGAATATTCGAACATTAACGCGGACAATTTAAAAACCCTTATAAAAATGCCATGCACATTAGCCCAAAGTATTTTTGAGTTTTTTTTATAATAAACTTGTTTTCAGAAGCCCCAGTAAGTTAACATACTCTACCACGCTCATGTTCTATAAAATGATTGATGTTATTGTAAAGACCGGATATATTATTTTCGGCCGAAGCAACTAATCGGGCCCTGACCTCGACATCTAGAAATAATATAGAAAATGAACTTATCTAAGTTCATTTTCTACATTGAATCGATCGGGGAGGTTGAGTCTCCCTTCATACCCTGAAAAGTTCCTTTGCCTTATTCCAAACAAAGCAAAAACAAATATAGTTTCATCTATATTAATAAGAGAAATGAATAGTGTCTTTCTTTGCATTGAATATGCCCCAAAACTACTTACATATGTTTTGTTTTTAAAAATTCTTTCACTTACTGGTAACTACACGGTACGCGGGTAATATAGTAACAGCTAGTATATATATATAATTACTTTTTACAGAAGCATTTGTTTTCAGGGTTCGCGCTCTTCGCTGCCAAAACATCTCTGGATATCGCATAGTGATATGCGGTCATGTTGAATATTGTTGTTTTCTCTACAAAACTGGCGAACATTGATCTGTGAAATAAAAAAAAATGCTTATAAAGAAGTATGATTATAGTATAGTCTGACGGTCAGTTACACAAACGTCCATTAAGGTTTAATGACGCCTTCAAGCTCTAATGAATGTCAAATTTGTATGGGTAATGTCGCTTTAAACCAATGAAAATGTTAAAGGACGTTTGTGCAACAGGCTGCTAGAGAAGGTTAAAGTAACTTCAGGTTTATTTATTAAGTAAGTTAACACCCATGCCATGGAATAACAATAAAAATGCAATCAGCAATATTACCATTGTTAAATATACTAATCTTATGTTATCAAATGACTATGATTTTTTCTTAATTCAGTTATCTAACATATACCTAGAAGGTACAATCAACAGCACATCAGCTTATACGAATCTGTCAAATTTCCCCACTCGATTTTAAACCTTATTGCAAAATTTTACGTATTATGGTAACCCTGAAGTGCGGCTATGTGTACACATCATTTTTTTTCCCTAATAAGGTTTTATACTACCATCTATATAGAATTCATATCACAAAGAATAATGAAACACTGTTTATCTGTATATTTTTTCTGACGGAAAGATGTGGTTGTTTCTCGATAATAGGTCGATAATAAGTTCCCTACAAACATATTCTTTAATATCCGGAAAAAAGGAAGAAATGGAATATCCAAAAGAATCATATTTAATGCTTCACATTTTCAATAAAGAAAATGACATTATATTTTGCCTACCTGCAGACCTCCGGTTCGAAAATATACAATCTCTTTGGTACGTTGTTCTCATCTATGGGCGGGAAAATAGAGGCATCAGAGCCGTTGAGTTGTCCACAGTACTTGTCCCCGCCCCAGTGTGGCATGAACGATTTGCCCTTGTACGCGACTATGTGACCCAGCTCGTTGACGTCCTCCGTACCACGGACCATATCATACGGACCGGACTCGGTGCGGTTCATCTGTGTTACGGACGGATTTAATAATACAATCTATGTAGTTATCTTAATAAAATTCGTATAATTCAAATAAACAACCATGACCTCTATTTATTTTTTATTATCTATACTAATATTATAAAGAGAAAATATTTAATTGTTTGTTTGTTTGCATTGTGTACTGAGTACGATTTTGAAAATTCTCTCACATACGGCAGGCTACATCATACGCGGTTGACATAGACTAAAATAATAAAGCCGTGGTAAAACATCTGAAATATATAAAACTAAATGTAAAGTTTAAAATTTTTATAGTTTGTTAACATATTCTTATATATTGGGAAGTAACTCTATAAAATAAACTATGGCAAGAAACTTAAGGCTACTTATCTACATGCCCATGAACATGAAAATTAGTATGAGCGAACTTTAAGTTTTTCAAGATGTTATTCTCGTTAAAAAACATGATATAATGTGTAAAACCTTAGTAATACATTGATTACATAGAAAATCTAATTTGCTAGCAAAGAGAGGGTAAGCCGGTGAAATAGCATGATCGGGCCCTGTCTTTATCACATACTCTACGTAGACATAGCTAATGAACCTCTTATAAGTTATTCTTATTATCAATTCCGTTTATGAAAGAACAATTACAAAATTATTTGTGTAATAATTATCTATACTTGCGTGTGAAAACATGGAGAAATAGAACCCTTTTCCATCTTCAGACGGTCGCATAGTAGGTGGCGCTTCAGTCCTAAGCTTTCCACAAATCAAACCTGGAATAAAAGAAAACATTCTGCCCTATACATAGATGAACATGTTTTGTGTACTAAAGTGCAATAATTTGGTTTCTAGTAATATTTGAATGCAATAAAATCAGAGGTTTGATCAAATAGCTAAGGGATATGATGAAACTACAGGAGATTATTAGATTTGTTAATTTTTTGCGTTCACAATGCTATATAGGAAAATATTCTTAATGAAATATGCTTAAAAAATCAACTTTCCTCCCACGATCTTCCGCAGTCGCCCGCGTCGCAGAAGGTCGTGGGTCCCATCTCAGACATTGGATTTTCTATGTATTTTGAATTATAACTTCAGAAGATGTTAAATTGTAATTGGATTTTAATATTACCCTAAACAAATCTACATTGTAACGTGACCAAAAATTTGTCCAGTGATATGATAAAAATTATATGTCATGTGAATGTGTTCCATGAAAAAACTACTTATATTTATTATTATTTCGGAATGAAATTAAATAAAGTTACTTATATATCAGCTAAAACAAAGGTATAATTTAAAATGTATGGTTGTAAATCAAATTACCTAAAGCCGAGTGGTTGCCTGCGCAGTTGACGTAGATACCATCAAAAAATAAATCACGGACTTTGACCCTGAGGAACGGATCTCTCAGTTCGGAGAAGAACTCCTCCAGGGCTTGGTTTATCATTCCGGTGAGGCTCGGCATCATTTCTTGCACCGATAGTATGGCGGCCTAGCAAGAAGCGACAAAAATTAGATTTTTACCAAGACTTTTTAAAAGCTACCTACATTATAGCTCTTCCCTTAAATTTTTCATTATTACGAGGGTCAAACTGAAAGTTCTTAGAAAATCAAAAACTGATTACATTAGCCAGTTATTAGTTTTATTATATCTTTTCAAAATATTGTCCATTCACGTCAATACACCGCTGCATGCGATGGAACCACTGGGAAAAGCACTTTGCCCACTCGTCCTTAGGGGTCTCTTCAATGGCATCGCGATACGCAGCCACCGCTTCTTCAGCATTCATAAACCGCTTTCCTTTAAGTTTTTCTTTAATTTTTGGAAATAAATAAAAATCACAAGGCGCGAGGTCGGGGCTATACGGCGGGTGACCCAGTAATTCAACGTTTGATGTCGCCAAATAGTCGATCGTTCGCTTGGCGGTGTGCGACGAGGCGTTGTCGTGGTGAAGGAGGATCCTACTGCGAGGTCGTTTCTCTCGAACTTTTTCCAAGACAAGTGGCAAACAATTGGTAGTGTACCATTCTGCAGAAACTGTTTTTTGATCCTCTAACACAATTGTTGCAAAATGACCTATCCTTCCAAAGAACGAGGCCACCATTTTTTTTTCCCGCACTTCGATCTCTCTTCACTTTAGTTGGCAACTCCTCGAAAGGAAACACCCACTGAGCAGATTGTCTTTTGGTTTTAGGATCATAACAGTAAATCCTGCTTTCGTCACCTGTTAGTATGTCGAACACAGCATTTGAGTCACCTCCGTTAAATCTTTCAATCATTTTACGACACCAATCCACACGATGGAGTTTTTGAGCCTCAGTCAAATTATGAGGTATCCACCGGGCGCAAAGCTTCCTGACCGCTAAATGTTCGTGGAGGATTTTGTGCACTTGACTCATACCGATGCCTAAGCTTGTCCGAATCTGTTGATAGATCACTCTTTTGTCAGTCTCTATCATACGCCGCACAACACAGATGTTATCTTCAGTCGTCGCCGTAGAAGGCCGTCCCTCACGTAAATCATCAGTGAGATTAGTGCGACCACGTTTAAACTCATTAAACCAGTTGTAAACAGTCGCACGAGATGGGGCTTCATCGTGAAAGGCCAATCGTAGTCTATCATAACTTTCTTGTTGACTTAAATGACATCGAAAGTCATAAAAAATCATTGCACGAAAATTTTCTCGTGTTAAATTCATGATGACGTGACACAGACAATTTTCAATTTGCCGCCAAATCGTAAAACAAATGACAAATGAATGAAATATATACTCAGTAATATTGGCAAAGAGTTATATTTTCAAATTTTAGAATTATTTTTTTATTATATTGTTTATAAGTGGCCAGTTCTAAGAACTTTCAGTTTGACCCTCGTAGTATTCACGAGAAAGGCTCCAAATAAAATTATATCATTCCTTTAATAAAGGCTGTGGCAACCACCTCTGAAAGTCGAAACTCTATCCCATTACTTAGTTCGCAAATCTGCGGCGGGAGACCCAAAGAACTGAGTTTCTTATTCATTTTCTCTATTTTGTTTTATACAAAGTTGTTCGAAACACACATTATTTTGATTGTGTCTACACCAGTGTTGCCCACTCTAAAAGTAGATTTTCTGTTTTAACATCAAATGCCCCTATTTTCTGTTTTATTTCTATTTTGTATTATTTTTCAAATTACGTTCAGTGCCACCTATACCGCTGTGCAAATATAATCCAAAATAATCGAAACCACAGAATGGCACTTGAAGAGATGAATAAAACTATGTATTATTTTAAAAAGGAATATGAGTCAGAAATTACAAATATAAAAATATATACGGTATATAGAAGAAAGTGTTTTTTTATTTCGTTTAATTTTTCTTTTATTTTTTATTTTATGATGAACATAAAACATAATGATCAATGTAATATCTAAACAAGAATATCAGTTCATATGAGAACAGCATGAAATATGCTTTTTTTACATATCCTATTGATTTTTCCTGCTTTTTATTTGATAGTTTCTTGGGGTTGACAACACTGGTCCACAGCATTATCCATTTAAGCGGAGGGTTTGCAACCGTGGTGTACACATTTAATTACTACAATTAAGAATTTTATTCATTAAAGAGCGTGTGAACTTATTTTGATCAGATAATGGATTTCGTCTTTTCTATTTTACTAAGTTACTAGTTTTCGTCCTCGTTTTTTAGTACGACGGAACGGCTTGAGTTTTAAACTTACCATGTAGGAGAAATTGATGACAGTGAGTTCATCGTCTTCAGTGAGTGCTCCTGACTCGGTGTCGTCAAATATGAAGTTCTTCTTCAAAGAATACCTTATGGTGTCGTTATCCCCGTAACCAAGTACCGTCCTTTCGCGGTACTCTCTGTAACAGGAAACGATTGAAAATATACAGGTGCAACAGTTTTCGTTAATTGTAAAAATGTTGCATATAATTTCATTGTTTACAAAATTATGAACTCTCCTTAAAAAATAAACAATGGGCGTGATAAAAAAATAAAAGTAAATATGGTGAATTTAGGAGCAAACTTATGTTTTTTTATAGGCAGAACATATATGATATGTTTTAACTATGACAAAACCCTTCACAATATTTCTGTATCATAAAGTTTTCTTTTACAAATGATTTGGAAGTTATTTCTTTGTACAAAAGATGCTAAATGTACGCGCCCTCTTAATAGCAGTAGATAAGAATGTCAGATCAGCCAATCCATGACAGGCCTTTACAAGAATCGTTTAGGTTCTAGAGCAGGGATGGTGAACCTTAAAGGTTTCAACAACATCAACGTGCCATTTTTTCTAACAAAATGTTTAATGAAGTCATAGATATATTATCAAATAATTTTGACTTTGTGATTATTGGCAAAATAATAACATATACTATTAACTCAAAACTGTAGATACATTTTGCAATGTTTAATTTGGCTAATTTTATATTAATTTAAATTACACGCGTAATTTGAATTATTGTGACTTCTGTTGTTGCAGATTATATGACAACAAACTTATATTGAGGTTGTAAGATGTTACTTTTATCAGAATGTACGCTGAATTGGATTCATCTGTCAATCTGTTACTAACAGAATTTTTAGTGTTATTCATCTCAAACATGAACCAGCTGACACATTTAACTGTTATAAAAACCAGTTGGTAAACATTATTTGCATTTTTACTTATATTATCCGTCAATATTTCTGTTTAAATGAATAACTTATTTTGTAATGAATATCGTGATAAGTGTCGTGCCCAAAATATTTTAACTCGTGCCACTGCTGGCACGCGTGCCAATGGTTCGCCATCCCTGCCCTAGACTAACTGCTCAGTCGAGCAGCTCCCTATAAAGTGAACATAAAAAAACATTTCTTTTTTCAGCTTTATCAACATTATCGGTCAGTTGCAGAAACATCAATTAAGTTTTCAATTAGATAAATATGTATATTTACATATAAAACATATCTTATTCAGTAATAATTTATCATTTTCTTGTTTCGTTATTTGCCAAAGTACATCGCTCTTACCCCAAGGTAGGGTAGTGACCCCAAACAATTTGCGACACGAATCACTCGAGTAATTTTATTACGACTCTCATAGAATACCTAATGAGAGGAAATTTACCATTATTGAAGTAAACGTAAGTGTAATGTAAAGAAATAAGAATAATGGAAAGAAATAAAACTGAATAATAAAAATATAAAATATAGTGAGATTGTGGATATTCTTTGACAAATTTGCATTTATTGTACACATCAACGTCGTCGGGGCCTCTATAGTCCGGGGTTCAGCATTATATTTCCCGGCACGTACATGATGATCTCAAAAGACTAGAAAAACGGGGCGAGAGTGAGATATTGTATTGGCGCACCCGAAAAAAAGGGATATTTAGATAGACAAAACGTTTCTCGAGTTCATCATGCTAGGCGTGCTAGGGTGCGACTGGCCAACTCTCTAACCATAAATAACGAGATTTAGGGCGATATATCGTTACATTTGACGACTTGACATGTAATCTAATTAAATAACGACAAACAAATGGTAAATAATGATGATCATGGACAGCATCGTCGTCATTAAATTAAGGTTTAATGGAAACTTTAAACTCTAATGAATGTTCTAAAGTGGAAAATGTGTATCGGTAATCTGTCAGTTGCACAGACGTCTATTGAAATTGTCATGATTTTAAAGTGACATTACCAATACAAATTTCAAATTTAGAACATTCAATATTCGTCCTGGTAATTTTATAAATGGGAAAATTTGTGAAGATGGATGTTTGTAGGTTTGTTGCTCTTTCACAAAATAACTACTGGATGGATTTTCATGAAATTTGGTATACGGATACTTCTGAGCGTGGATTAACATATAGGCTACTGGATTAACATATATCTCATTAAACAGGGGGCCAATTCTACTAAATAAATTTTGTTTAAATCGAATCGAAAACGGATCGAAACCGAACGAAACTACAGTTTTTAATAGATTTCCTATTCTACAAAGTGACATACGATACAATTCCAGTTCTATTTTAGCTGGAATTTCTATTTTAGTTCTATTTAGTTCTATTTTAGCTGGAATTGTATCGTATGTCACTTAGTAGAATAGACAAACCATTACAAAATCATTAAAAACTGTAGTTTCGTTCGGTTTCAATCTGTTTTCGATTCGATTTAAACAAAATTTATTTAGTAGAATTGGCCCTCCGTTCCCTAGCGAACATGTGGCCAAGTCGCTGGCGAAAGCTAGATTGATATAAATAATGATCTTTAAAAATCCTTTTTATTAGATATTTCTAGTAAGTAATTCAACGTAGATATAAACCAGATAGTAATGTTACTCGATAAAAGTTAACGTAGGATGTATTTTCTTTGATAAAGGCCAATAGCTCGGAATGATAGAACTAAGGTCTAAGCTACACAATCAACAGAAACCATAACAATATAAAGTTTACGAGAGGACGTAATAAATGTGAACGGCAAAACTTTTACGGAATATCTCGCGTCGTCACTAGATGCCGCCATAGTCAGTTACGGGTCGTGTACTTATGTTATGTACTCAAAACAATTTAAGATCTATTGCTTCAAGGTGAGAAATTTCGAAATAAATAAATCTGCAATGATCTGAATTTAGCAACAACAGTTGATTAATTTTAATGAAAAGTATAATTATATCTCAAATATGTATTACCTACTACCATGTAACAGTATTCAAATTTGAATTTAGTAGACGAGTATAAGGCAATGAAACTTTTATTATAAAATTCAACAAGTTTCAGAAAGTATTTATACAAACTTAACCGTATTATGTTCCATTATTCATATATTAGGTATACATTTTATAACAGATATCTGTTTGTGTGTGTGTTCAATAAACGTTTTCAATTCTATTCTAAGTACAAATTGTGAATCATTGTAAATTATATGGATGTGAATATTCATGAAGGCCTTTTACACGGTCGTCGTATTGCTCTACGAGGAGAAAACTAGGGCTGTCTACTTCATTTCTACTAACAATCCTCATAACCAACTGTATGGTGTTATTTAAGACCTAGGACAAAGCCAAGAGTCAGAGTGGCAGGACGTTCATTGTTTTGTATGGTTCTTTTTAGATTATACTTCTTTTTTCTCATGATAATGATAATTCTAAGAATAATATTTTCAGGTCATATTTTATTTTGCTGCGGAATGGCAAAAGGCCCGTGTCTCGAGGCTGTGGGATGACAGAAGGTCCGAGATTGAATTCAATTATCTACGGGTTAAGGGTACTCGCGATCAGAGAAATCCTTTTATGTCTATAGAGAAATCAGAGGTCAGTGACTTTTTGTTTCGTAAATTAGATTTTTTATTATTGATTTTTTTTTCTCAAGTTTTATTTAATACAGATTTTTATATCAGTACATGTAATACCGATTCATCGTATCATTGGCCAACGTTTAATCATTTCATTCTCAATATTAACTTTATTATCAATATTAACGTAAACAAAACTTCTTAAAGTAAGATTCCGTAGCCAAGTGGTTCGCACGCCGGTTTCAAGGTGTCGTCATCTCTGAGGTCCCGGGTTCGATTCCCGGTCGGATGAAAATGAACTGAACATGACATATGAAAATGAACTTTTCTATATTGACTCGGGCCTGGGTGTATGTTCGTTGTCTCAGATACTCCATAATACGGGGGCTTTAGCTACTCATCTTCAAATCTGAGCAATGTATGTGATGTTGTTAAATATTTATTTATTTAACAAGGACGATATTAAACTAGAAAGTATTAAAGTAGGTTCTAATTTTAGTATAGTGTTGTGAATTTTTTTTTTGATTTGATAATATTTTTTAGACGAAACTGATTTCTAAAAATTAAAGTTTGTTTCATTTTTTCGTTTAACCATCTCGCTCTAGCAAAAAGCGGCAGAAAAGGATATATTGCCAAACTGCCAGATATAGTCAAAGCCTAATAAGTACTTTAGCATTACCTACAAAATAAATATACTAATTAAAAATAAAAAGTTGGCAACCCTCATATAAGGCAAAATTATGGTTTTATTAAAATTACCGATTCTGAATCTAATATCTACGTGTGCGGTATTAAGTCGTAAAAATTGTTTTCGTGTTCTATACTTATTCCTTTTCATACTTTACTTTTATTTGATGTGTTTATTTTATTTCCTTTTTATTATTTAAGATATACCTATATTTTGCACCCATGACACATTATTTCTCAAGGTTTCATTTTTTTTCTACATAGGCTTCCAGAAAGAGATTGCTATCTAGCAATAAGGCTGTGTAATTGTTGTTTTATCCTGTGTTGTGTGAAATAAAGCATTTTTTCCAATTAGTAATGACATTAGTAACTAATAGGTAAAAGTAAGTTAAAAAAGGGTAAACAATGTATATAAAGCTATAGTTACAAATTAAAAATAGTAAGGAAAACCCTTTATGTTACAAATTTGATATTCTGTAATAAAATCAGCGTCAACCTCAACGTAGAGTATACTACTGTGACAATATACAAGTTCAATTAAATTAAACCTTTAATAAGTTATTTTGAACTATAATGAATGAATGAATGAAAAATTCTTTATTGTACACCAATGGACAGAAACAAATATAAGGATACAATAAATGTGAATGCACAATTGGCGGCCTTATTACTAAAAAGTAATTTCTTCCAGGCAACCTTGTGAACTGAACGAAAATTATATCTACTTTAGATTAGATTTAGGGTAGCTTTTGGTGTCTCAAACTTTATCATGATATCATATCTCTACCTATATTTAATGAATCATTAATATTAGAACTAGCTGACCCAGCGAACTTCGTATCGCCTTATACACGTTTAAAAAAAAAACCTATATACAAACCGTGTCATGAATCGTGGAACACATAAAAAATATAATCATCCAATTTGGTGCTGTCGGAACTGGAATTCGGAAGTTATGCGCATACGTTTTGACAATTCATTTTTATTCATCGGTATTTAATAGCTCGCCCGGACATTTTTATATATCGATAACACATTAGTTATACATTTTTTTGGAATAGTGTAAAAGACAATTTTGATCTACATTAAATGCATAACGTATGTAACTTATTTTTTTTAATAAGGATCAATACTGTATTGATAAAAATAGGTTCGTAAATAACCCATTATTTTAATGTTTTAAATATACGTAAAACATGGTTATTGTGGGTTATCCTTGGAATATAGACATATACACACGGACTTTTTTGTAGATCTATTAGGGCGCTTGTGCACTACACTGAATTTTCATGTCCGGCGGTCCGATTTTTTCAGGTCCGATATATCAGACCATATGTAGGTAATGCGCGCTTGTGCACTGTCAGGAATTTTACCGTCCGGAATTTTACTTTTCTCTATTCCGGACCGTTTTTTTCAGTTCCGTGATGGCGGCAATGAAAAATGTGTTTACGCTTGTGCACTGCTGTGTCCGAGATCCGGAAAATTCATAAGGAATAGGCTTGGGAAAAAATAATCTATTTGAATCGATATTTATTTCGGCAAAATTATTAATTTCCAATTAACTTATAATCGATATTTATTGTTGATTATAAAATGCTATATTTTATATGATGATTTAATATAGTTGGTATATATCACTGCATATGCTTTGGCAAACTCGGTATAGTTCTAATTTGATCAGCGTATGGTTCTAGTATCGATACTTAGCTAGATTTTAGAATCGTATTAAAAGTATCAATAGCTTAAGGTAAGATAAATAAGTGTAAATACGCTTAGACGCCTAAACAACTGAACCCATCTAAATGGAAATTAATATAGTAAATAAACTTAACTTTAAGAAAGGACATAGGCTACATTTTATCGCGAAAAATAGGGGATGAAAGTTTGCCTGGAAATTTGTTATTATCTAATTTTTTTAGACAATTGATAAGTATAGATAAATATTTGACAACAGAAGTAATAATAAAGAATAAACAGAAGATTAACAAAAGTAATTAAGTGACACTCAATGTCTTTTTCGCATTTAATAAAATTTTTAATGTATGTTTGTGTCATTATAAATTTTAAAAAAGAAGTATTCTAAGGGAATAATATTTCTGCGCAAAGAAACTACACCACGCGTATAAAATTATGCCTATATGTATAATTCAGTCAACTAATCTCGTAGTTCATTTAGCATAATAATTCTCCGCTAACACGGCACTTATATCGATTTGTTTACGAAATGGCGCCACCGATTGGTCTATCTCTGTAATCGCTGAAAGTTGTTTTTACAAAACTTCGAAAAAAATAGCACGCGTAAAAATTAAACATCAAGTACTAGACCATTATCAGTAATTTTAATACATCTGATAGTAGTCATCCGATAGTAGTAAAAAAAATGCTTTCGTCTTGCCATAATTTATTATAGTTTATGTAAAACGATCAGATCATTATTTAGGTACCTTTCTACGTCTTCGAACGGAATTACCGACGTTCCGAAAATCTCATCGTATCTAGCGTAAGTGACGTGTAGCTTCAAAGAGAGCTGCCCTACACTGCGCCGCTCTGATCAGGAAAAAAACGGACAAGTGCACGCTTGCACTCATCCGAGTTTTTCATGTCATTCCGGACCGGAAAAAATCGGACCGCCGGACCTGAAAATTCAGTGTAGTGCACAAGCGCCCTTAAAGAGGTACAATTCCACCATACAATGTTTTGTTATGACTAAAAAGTTTTTGGCAGCGTTTTCGAGGAAAGCTTCGGCTTTATTTTTTCCGACATATTGAACTAATGTCGTTGTAATATCTTCAGTTTGTACAAAACCTAAACTTACTATACACTAATGCCTTCCTCAAGAATTGCTCTATCTATTGTTGAAAACTGCATGAAAATCGTCTACAAGGTCTACCGCCGTAGTATTGTGAACCGATGGCGTATTTTTCGACTTTCACAAGTGCTCTGTAAAAGCCTAAACTGAATAAACAATTTTGATTTGATTTGAGTACTTTACTAGTTTGTTGCGAGCAGACAGACAGCAGCGACAGGGACTTTGTTTTATAATATTTAGTGATGATAGTTATCTTTAGGATTATTATCCTTTGAAGGAAGTTTTATTTGGTCGAAACTCGAGACTGTTTTTAAACAGAATAACACCTTTGATCAGAATTATCGGTAAATATCAAACACCATTCGTAAATACCTTTACTTTTTGTATGTTGTAAAGCGAAGTTGTTAAATAAAACGATTACACACCTACACATATATAAACTGTTATATTTAACCTTGAACTTTACTCTCGTCTGTTACTGACATAAGTTTTTATTTCTTTATAAATATTTAATCTTAAGATTATGAATAAGTAACGTATTATGCTATATTAGAATTATGAAGCTGAAGAGTCTGATTATTTGATTGAACACGCTAATGTCAGGAACTAACGATTCGAATTGAAAAGTTGTTTTTGTATAAGCTATGATAACATCATGCTTTGACTAATAGGAGTGGACAGCAATTAAAAATGTGACGCTGGCGGAACGCTAGTTCACGATATTAAAAATATCAATGTAGATGTTTATTTTTTGTAAATTAATATAGTGTGCATGATTGTGTACCGAAAAGCACTTCAGATTACCACAATATGATTTTCACACTCGACTTCAATCCACTTTGAAGACATTATTTTTTAAAATGAATTCAGGAATTTCTATTTTGTTTATCATCGTAGTAATAAGAATGTTTGGATATTTCAAAACGGTAATGTTTGTTAAAATTATAGTCGGCCTAAATATTTTTTTCGAATTTTGTTTAATCATTAATTAACATTTCATCAATAATACTACTTTGAATTATTTCCTGTAGAATTTCTTTAATTACTTTTCAAGTTTCCTCTGGGCTCAAGGCTTACCGCTGAACCTTTGTCCTAAAACACTACAACTATACATTGCAGAAAAAGTGGGAGTGATGTATAAAGCTTGAAAGAATTAAAAATATTTTACTTACTTATACACGTAGGGCCCAACCTCAGCCAGTATCGGCTTGGCGCCATTGTTGACTTCTTCAGGGTTGGTCACATTGAACACGTAGACTTTGAAGTCGAGCGGCATCGGCAACTTCCGCCATTTCTCGAACATAACCGATGTATTGTCTAGCTGGATATTCTACAAAATAAACCAAACCAAAAACATATTATCTCGAACTTTCCGTGATTCGGAAAGTACGTTAAGTCATTTGTCTCAGCTGCATCTGCAGACATTCATTAACTCATAGCCCATTATTTCTATTAATTCCATCCATTGGGAAGGCCTTATACAAATGATGACGATGAAATAACGTTAAGCCGACCCGACTTTAATACGAGCGAGAAAAATTTTTTCAAGAATTTATCTATTTAACTGAAATCATATTGAAATATTATTGAATAGGCAAACTGATTTTAAAACAATTGAATTAATAGTTTTAAAAACTAAATACCCTTTTACTGGAGGTGGTACAAATATTTCATTCTGACTTTAAAAAATAAAGAGATTATTGACATTTAAAATGGTTGATGCCTGTGTTTTTATGAAATCAGCGGGTTAGGATGTAGAGCTAAATGCGATTTTAAACTGATTCAAAACGAAAAATCCAAATAGATTTTTATTGACATTTCCAACTTTTTACGGAACGTATTTCAAGTATCATTATTTAATTTAACCAAACCTGACGGCATAAGAATACAAAGGGCTATAGAACTCTAAGCATAGTGCTTTATTTTTTTTGTAGTAGAGGCTGCAAGTGATTCAATCAATCTATTTGAAACGCTTGAACGGCTTTAAATAGTGACATTTGAATCGTTTTTAAATCGGTTGTTTTATATCTACAACTATAAACAGTTGAAAGCGTAAATGTAGTAAAAAGTGCATATTGTAAATAGGTAATAGAGGTAAAAACAACATGATTATCATAAAATAAAATTAATAATAAAATAAAAAGTGACTAAAAAGTTATAAAATTGTGTGTCTTCACTATAATAAATACTTATATAATATGAGAATAAATTGAATGTTGTTGAGTTTAGAGATAACCTCGATACTTTTGTTTGTAATTTTTTTATATTATTTTGATTTCTTTTATAGTGATATTTTGAGACTATGCATTTGGTTTATTTAATTTTCTTTTATACTTTTATTTCTATACTCGGGGATAGAGACGCCGGCATACAGTTGGCGGAGCCTGGCGGTGCGCAGTAAAAAAAATGAAGAAAAGCGCCTTGTGTGCAGGGCCGCCACATCTGCAAATCGGGCCCGGGACCAGATTCTGGCCACCCCCCCCCCCCCCTTTTTTTTTCGTCGCGCCACTTTTACTAGAGAGCCATCTCTAGTATATAGATAGCCAATATGATAATTGTTAAAAAACTATTAAACCTTCTCTAACTCCACTTCTAACCAAACAATAAATGATTTATATCTCCTACCAAGGTTCAGTGTTCGAATAAGAACACTTGAGGGGACTGAACTCTTACTTCACTACGTTTTATTCTACATTTAATTTAATTTTAATCAAATAAATAAAAGAAAGTGTAACTTAAGATTAAAAATTCAAGTATTCATAATACCAACCAATTATTTAATTACCAAGTAATTACCAACCAATTACAAAACCATAAAAATGCCATAAATTAGCATGAAACGAAAATTCTATATGCATCAGTCATAGGATTTTTATTTTAACTACTTTAAATACAATTATTGGTGAATAGACGGCGTATTCAGAGAAGTTCCAATTTACTAATTCCTCAAAAGTACGATTGTGGCAGAAATTATGATTGACTAAATTTTATATAATCAATAATTAACACATATAATTAACTTTATTTTAATGTTATGGACGGATTAAAAAGGAAAGTCTCTGTATACAAGATGGCTGAAGGAATTAGTTGAAACAATGATTAAATCAAATATAATCTTATCAGGGCCCGTCAAGTGTAATACACTCTGTTTTATATAGGCCTAAAAATTCTAAAATACTTTATTTACTAAATACAGGACCGGACCGGGCCCCCCCTGGGCCCGGGCCCGGGGCAACAGTACCCACTTGCCCCCCCCATGTGGCGGCCCTGCTTGTGTGGCATCTTGGAATATAATCTTAATGAGGATGGTATCCCGCCGTGCCTTTAGATTGCCGATGATAAAACGGTGAAGGCGGAATGAGCTCATGCAGCTCCCGAGGACACTCCCATATATAAAGGTATATATATTTAGGAAGGTTCTGATCACTCTTATGTGTAACTAGATCGTTACCTTTCTTCGAAAGGTATAAATTATAACCTGGCGTATTCACACAGGTGCTCAATAATATAAGAAACGTAACAAAAGATACTAATATCTTGTACTTTCACTTACGTCTATATTATTGTTTCCAATTTAGTAATATTACATTGAACTTTCTTTCAATGTTTTTATGGCATAAATAATGTCATCGTATATTCGGCCGGGTTTCCAATAACCCTGCAGGCGGGGGTCTATTTCACGCGTGACTGGACTTTCGATTATATATTGGTATTTTTGTCTCACAAGACTATTACATTGATACATATATATTAAGTAAAATAAATAAAATACTTCAAATTAAATACAATTTAGATAATGATAATAAAACAAACTATATCGACAGAGTGGAAAATTTGCAGTTATATAACTCATTTTCGTGATTTTGATTCGGTTACATAAATTGATAATACGGTTGATGATGTATACTGTAATTTGAATGGGACTGGTTTGGCAATAGCGGCCCAAACGAAGTGTTTCTTGCTTCGGGTTTGTTTTTTTGTGGACATATTGACTTTATAAGGTTATTTAGATGTAAAGGTTGAGGTTGCCTCTTTGAGACTCTCACTTACTACAACGAAAGCCATAAAAATGGAGTATGCTGTGATTTGTTTGTTATATAATTTTCTAATTAAAAAGTTTTTATTTAAGCTAACACTATAACGCTTACTTAAGTACCATGACTGAATACTCTCATATATTTTACAGAACAGTGTCTCTAAATCTGGAAACATTTACGTTTTTCGCGGCGACCTTTTGTGAGTAATCCTAATTATAGAACAGTAGCTATTATCAAAAAAATATTGAAGATTTCATCAGACACTATGTAGAACCGGAGATAAATGTTATTTTAATGATCGTATGTGTTTTATTTGCAAAATAATTAGCGTAACAAATACAAAATGCTGCCGAAAATCACTATTCCTCGCGGACGAAGTCGCGGGCATAGCTAGTCACTAATAAAATTGAATAGACCACGCGACGAAGTTTACGGCTCGTGATAGTTTACGATGCGTGAATTATCATATCACCCGTCCTGAACTTCCTTCAATATATATGTTGCAAATTCCACCGTAGTAACATTACGCAAAGCTTATATTTCAATGTTACTCTACAGTAAGCTTACAAGTCGAGCAGAAATTTGATGTTAAGTCTTTTTAGTTTTGCTTAATTTGGATGAGCGACGTAAATATATATACATGATAAACAGCAAATAAAGGGATGAAAATGGGAGTGGAAGTTTGGATTTGTTGAAATAAGGTTCGTTATATTAAAAAAAAAGTTATGTCTATGGTTTTGACGTTTTTGTTGGTTATATTCTGGTCTTGTGTCGGTTGAGATAAAACGAATTAAATGTTGTTTTTACGGATATCCGTGTTATCGTGTCATGATATGAATCGATATCCAAATAAACAGTTCCCTAGGGACCAGGCGGTTGAAGCCCCTGGCGGTATAGTATTTAGTATTTAATACTTTAAGTGTTACCTATTATATAAAAAATTTAAATACCTATTAATTATGTTGAGTTAGCTTTGGATGAGTTTTATTAATTTATGTTGAATTAATTTATGGCAGAAACATAATTGATTTGTGACATTGTTTATATTATTTTATTTGATCGTGTAATAATGTTGTTTGTTTCTCAAATACTAATAAAATAATAAATATATAAAACATGAAATATAAACTTAAAATCACTTAAAAGCGAATTATTCAATAAAATGTTATCGAAGTCAGGAGATCTTCTGTAGGTTTATTAATAAATTATAGGCGTTAAACTTTTATTAATAAATTTGTTTACTTATCAGGAAATATTTTTGTGACTCTGTTACATTGATGGAACTATTTGGGTTAAGGCTTTGGTTACATGACGTAATTAGGTACATTGGTAAGTAGTTATTGAAAATAATATCTGCCAGTTGATATTGTTGTGAGAGGCAAAGATCAAAATGTATTTATCTTCTCAATAATAGTATGATTATGTTCAGAGATTTGCTATAGTAAACATTTTTAAACTGACTGTCAATTCATAGGTATAAATGTAATAAATTAATTTGAATATCTGTCAAAAATGTCTGTTTGATTCATTTCTCTGTTTAAGTAAAATTATTACTGAAAAGTTAAGGATATTTTGTTTACCTATTGAAGTAAGAAGTAGGTAAAAATACTTACATCAGTAATTATTAATTCATTTCAGTGAGTTTCGCATCTTAATGTTTGTTAAAAAAAAACTACTTGTAAAGACAGCTGTCTCAGATAGGTAACAACGAAAGGTTTTTGGTATACGTAATTGCGCTCGTAATGGCGGAATACTACCGTGACCCTAGATAATATATAGAAAAATAATATTTGAACATTAAATTAGGCTATTGCTTATTTATTATTATATATTTATATATGTATGTGTGTATATATTAGTATGGAAATTTTTTATTTCAACTGTGTAGGACACCATTCACTACCCATCTTTTTTACTTACCTACCTGTCCAGTCTAAGGGCGCTTGTGCACTACACTGAATTTTCAGATCCGGCGGTCCGACTTTTTCCGGTCTGGAATGACATGAAAAACCCGGATGAGTAGCTTGTGCACTTGTCCGTTTTTTTCCTGATCGGAGCGGCGCAGTGTAGGGCAGCTCTCTTTGAAGCTACACGTCACTTACGCTAGGTACGATGAGATTTTTGGAACGTCAATTATTCCGTTCGAAGACGTAGAAAGGTACCTAAATAATGATCTGATCGTTTTACATAAACCATAATAAATTATGGCAAGACGAAAGCATTTTTTTACTACTTTCGGATGACTACTATCAGATGTAAAAACTTATACCCTTACTTATATAGGAACAGCATTATTTACATACAATAGCTAAAAATATCTGTGACATTAGAATAAAATTTCTGATAATGGTCTAGTACTTTATGTTTAAATTTTTAAACGTGCTATTTTTTTTCGAAGTTTTGTAAAAACAACTTTCAGCGATTACAGAGATAGACCAATCGGTGGCGCCATTTCGTAAACAAATCGAAATTAGTGCCGTGTAAGCGGAACATTAATATGCTAAATGAACTTTACGAGATCAGTTGACTGTATTATATATAGGCATAATTTTATACGCGTGGTGTAGTTTCTTTGGGCAGTTTTAAAATTTAAAATTATTTATGACACAAATATACATTTAAAATTTTATTAAATGCAAAAAAAGACATTGAGTGTCACTTAATTACTTTTGTTAATCTTCTGTTTATTCTTTACTATTACTTCTGTTGTCAAATATTTATCTATACTTATCAATTGTCTAAAAAAAATTTGATAATGACAAATTTCCAGGCAAACTTTCATCCCCTATTTTTCGCGATAAAATGTAGCCTATGTCCTTTCTTAAAATTAAGTCTATTTACTATAATAATTTCTATTTAGATGGGTTCAGTTGTTTAGGCGTCTAAGCGTAACAACACTTATTTATCTTACCTTAAGCTATCGATACTTTTAATACGATTCTAAAATCTAGCTAAGTATCGATACTAGAACCATACGCTGATCAAATAGAACTGTACCGAGTTTGACAAAGCATATGCAGTGATATATACCAACTATATTAAATCATCATATAAAATATAGCATTTTATAATCAACAATAAATATCGATTATAAGTTTATTGGAAATTAACAATAATGCCGAAATAAATATCGATTCAAATCGATTATTTTTCCCAAGCCTATTCCTTATGAATTTTCCGGATCTCGGACACAGCAGTGCACAAGCGTAAACACGTTTTTCATTGCCGCCATCACGGACCTGAAAAAACCGGTCCGGAATAGAGATAAGTAAAATTCCGGACGGTAAAATTCCTGACAGTGCACAAGCGCGCATTACCTACATATGGCCTGACATATCGGACCTGAAAAAATCGGACCACTGGACATGAAAATTCAGTGTAGTGCACAAGCGCCCTAACTTTTGGTTGCCTGGAAGATATTGCTTTTTAGCGATACGGCCGCCAATTGTACTGTTTATTGTTATTAATTGTTATGTTGATTTTTTTTTCAAGTACAATAAAGTGTTCATTCATTCATTCATTTGTAATCAGTACATAAAATGTAATATTCTGTTCGTTACTGTAAATTATGATCTTGTTGTTTTCTCTCTTATTTGAATCTGCTAACATAGGAGATAGAAAAGAGAAAAGATATCTGTATACACGTATACAATGATCCATATATGTCAACACACAATTTATTTACTAGTATTAAAATAATATAATAATTTAAAATATAAATAATAAATATATAATGCAGTAATTATGTACATGTGCGTTGAATGTCTGAAGTTGAAGTTCGAGTTGTAATACAGATAGATAATAGGTATTAGTATATTGTTTGTTTATTAGATTTTATTTACTATAATTTTAATATTTATATGTAAACAGATATGATATGTAACCATTGTTTTATCCTTTGTATAAGTGGCCTTTGCATACTATACCGTTGAGCTCAATTTTGAGTTTGGCAATTTTGTTTGTCCGTACTCCATGCTTGTACTAAATTATAATTTAAAGAAAATAAATGATATTGTTTCATACTTTTTGTCATACCTTTTTTTTTGAACCAGGGTAAATGAGTTACATACTATTCCTGCCACCTGACGGAGTAGTAGGGGTGTGTGGGATACTCCGCGTTGTGAGACGGAAGTCTATTTAGGGATGCGCTAATACGCGATCCCTTCTCTCTTCCCTCCTGTGAGGAGCTATCCTCCGTCCTCCATACCTCCGTCTAGGCATACCCAGGCCAATCGGCCATTCGGGGCTCCCCTCACAGATCCTCTCTCCCGTCGCCCTCCGGCAGTTCAGGGGGCCGTCATGTTATCACGAATGCCCCCAGGGCACCCGGAGGGGGATTCCAACTATGGTATACGCCACTGCAACGAGATCGGCCTTGCCTCTCACACCCCCATATTGACACACCCAAGAGCAAGACCCGTGGGCGTGCTCCCATGTTGGTGTGAACTGTGGAAACGTGTACCGGCCGGCGGCCCCCCGGGACAAGCAACCGTGCAGGCACGGTGTTGTCACACCTACCTACGTTTTAGATTTCAATGACACGAAAGGCAATTAATTATGACCTTAAATATTTAATTATCACTATTTTAATAACGAAATTATGAACGATTACGGAAATCATCGGGTTCAATTGAACTTTAAAGAAGATTTTTATAGTGTTTTCTCAAAAGTGATAAACTATTGAAATATGCATTTTTTTACTAACGGTACAATTTATTTGAATCGCAACTTGCACTGACGTATGTACGTTTGCAAGATTATAAATAATATTTTGATAGTTGACAGTTTTTTTGTTTGTTATCATATTAATTTATATTATTCGACGGTTGACGTCAATGAAATTCTTAAAAACATTGATTAAGATTTTATTAAATTCTATTTTTAGGGGATTTTCAAATCTTCAAAGTTCAATATAGTTTTGAACAGAAATTTGTGAAGTACTTTGATATCATAATCTATTAAATATTAACAAGGAATATTAATTATTGTTTTATTGATTATTTATTGTAGAAATTTTGGTATGGAGTGCTTCTCAAAAAGAGTAGGTGAGTGTTTACCTGCTGAAAATTTTAAAGGGTTTATATTGTGCTAATTTTTATGTTATAAGAGTCGGGGTGCTCTAAATGGTGTTAATAAAATGTTTATAGCACGAGGGCTTAAGAATGGAGTTTAATTACATTTTTCCTACATCGCCATAATCTGAAATATGGCGCATCCTAAACTATAATTTCGATTTTAGTATTTGAATACACCTTATTATGATTCCAGCTTATTAATTTAACACACCTTATACTACGTACGTAGCAAAAGTTAACTACAAGAGATTTTATGTTGCCTAAACCAAAAATCACTAATTTGAAATGTCAACAAAGAAATAAGCTATTATTTAAAAATGACAAAACTATTTTAAAATTTTGTTGAAGGGTTATTAGGTTATAAGATTTTATTTATTAGAATGGTGTTTAAACCATAAGGATCTAGTTTGTTTAAGCGCACTATATCAAAATATTTTATGTAAACTATAATAGACATACTTGTATGTACATAAGAGGTAAGAAGGGATTGAACATCACGGTTTTTATTGACAATCATGTTTATGATTGATATAAGTGAAGTCTAAGCGTATACTGTTGTATGCTTATTATTTTTCTAGGTCGACATGCAATTACACTGTCGGGTTAAGGTTTGGTCACGTTCATGCGATTTAGACGAATCCGATCTTTAATGCATTGAGTTAAAGAAATGAAAGCACTCTATAAAATTTTGATAGCAATCCAACATTATCCAACTAACCTTATTTGCTTTATTATATCGCAGATAATTCTCAAGATTCAAGATTCCATCACATCAGTCCAGAGAAACTTAATATAAAAGTTGGGTTTATTTCAATGTCTATTTACTCATCCAACCATATCTTTCAGCGAGGTAAAATATGTCTATACTAGTAATATAAAGAGGAAAGATATGTTTGCTTGCATTGTAGAGGCTCAAAAAATACTTGATCGATATTAAAAAAAATCACCAACGGGAAGTTAAATTATAAGCGGGTGACCTATACTATAATTTCTTCTGACGAAAAGGCGGCAAATAAAATGGATAAACTTAAACATTATTCAACCTGCTCTGAAAATTCTTTCACTGGCATAAAGTTACATTATTATCACGTATTTTATCAATTATGAGATCGCACGAAGGTTGTGGTTTCAGCTTGTATCATATAGGTTAATATGAATTTTAAAGGGTGAGTACCTATAACGAATTTGTAACAGCTTCGAATGAATACACACCAGCCCTTTTACGTCCCCACTGCAGGGGCTCAGGCCTTCCTTATGGATGGTTAAGGAGGATGGGCCATGACCCTCCACGCTGGCCCGATGCGGATTGGAGGGTATTAACGACTGCAAATGCAGCCGGGACCAACGACTTAACGTGCCTTCCGAAGCACGGAGTAGCTCGAGATAATAATTTTTTGGTCACCCATCCCGTGACCGACCCTTACGAAAGTTGCTTAACGACTACGATCGCGGGCCGCGGCGCTTATTCACTACGCCACCGAGCTCGAATGAATGGAGGTAAGAATTATGGATATATGATAAATAAATATTTGGCATTTTTATTCTATGATTATATTCATGAAAATGTACATATATTGTATGTATATTCTATATGCTTTTATAAATCATTCATATGGTTTGCACTTGGAACGTAGTATTATTGAATTAAAAAACCCTGAAATTATTAATATTCAAGTCCTTTTTTATTAAGATAAACAAGACAAATCCTGTTAAGTCAAAATAATTTGGAAAATTAAATGAAACAAAACCCAGTGTGTTTACTTAACTTTAATAACAATGCATTATATTTGTATTATTTATTAATTTAACTTTATCACCTACAGAACTGTGCATATGGTACACTTATGTCTTTATGCTTTCTCTACCAACCAACCGGAGAGTTGTATAGTGATAATAATTATAAATTGTGCGTAAAGACAGGTAAATATAAAGATGTAACATTATAAATGCAAGAGTATCATATTAGAATTTAATTAAGACATTCATAAACATACAAACAAACTGTCTTAAATATTGAGACCATGACCTTTATAATATTTAAAAAAAAATTACATACCTTCTGTATTTGTTTGCTAACAATCTTTGGGAATCCCCATGCTGCCAATATTATTGCTACTAACAGCGCACCTAAAGAGACTAAGAAGAAAAGTTTCATATGATTCGCTAACATTATCGGATTCTAAAAAGTTTTGAACACCACTCCAAGAAGTTTCAATTTAATAATAATGTCCATAGAAATCGAAACATTCGAAATCTATATTAAAAGCACACAAGTCCGGTACAAGAGACAACTTGTTCACGATTATTCTGTAATAGGCGCGCACGAGTGGAGATTTTCCTCGTATTTTTTCCAGTGTTGTTTTCTTAATGTGACTTAATGATGGCGGCGTTTTATTTAGACAGGCGGTTGCAGATATATAAGACCTCATTACACACGTCTTGTTACAAACTATCGTAGGTACATTATATTTATTGTTAATTCGTCTCGGATGTAGAATTTATTAGCAAGTCATTTTTTGTGACGTGTATAGGTATTTTTTATTTCTAAGTACAGCTTAACTATTATGTTATAAAAACTCGACGTCAAGCGTAGCCCTGTTACAGCATAGACTTAGAATGAAATATTTTTTTTTAATTTTTTTTAAGAAATTTTTCACAATCCTTTTACCGTTGTGAAAGGCAATGCGTACAAAAAACTTAAACGCCCAAATTTATTTTATATAAGCATATTATTTTATTAATATAAAATAAATAGGATTTTAACAATTCTGAAAATTAAGATTGGTTTAATAGTTTTTCGTCCGATGCATATGTTCCATAGATTACAAAAGTTTACTCTTTGTTTGTTTCTTTGTCATTTAATCATGCTAAGACTTCACGATTACTTATAAAGGTGTTATTTTCATTTGTGACTCTGACTCTTTTGAGTAAATTCTTTGTTACAAGGCTGTCACAAAGTTGATTGACGAGACAAAACTCATATGCAAAATGTTATATTATAATACCAACATTACCTACTGTTTAATTTCATTATGAGTAGTTTGTTGACACTTACTCTAGTTGTGAAACAATCTTGATATTAATAAGTATAAAAAAATTGTATATGTTATTTTCTGCTTATAATTTACCATGTAGCAATAAGAAGAATTAATTATTCTATGAAATCGACATATTTGTAAAACAATGCCTGCAAATGAGGTATTGAAGTTCAAATAGTTTCCCCTCTAACAGGTTTGTGGTTAACATATAATACTCTACTACAAACATAAACCAGTTTGTATTGTTCAGCAATTATAATATACCTCAAATTTAACTTTAGGTCACACTTGATATTCCAAGTTTTGGTATAGTTCTAAAACTAGTAGCTGAGTCCAGTTGTTTTATCTAATAATACGGTAACGAAGTACATAAATAGTCTAGTTAAAATTATCTATTTCTTACCTATGTAGCTACATTTAATATATTTTTTAGTGTCCTTTATATTTGAATTGTGTCAATTGTAACAAGACGTGTAAACTTCGATAATCAATAGTAATATTTTAAGTTATTTTATATTTAAAATTCTCAGATTTTTTAACCTCAATAGAAACAATCACAAACGGGATACCACGAACAATTTGAGACGCGGTGTCCACAAAGACTATGTACAATCCGTCGCTTATCAAGCACAACTGAACAATGTCCATAGTCACGCCATAGGCGAAATAATTACTAGTAAACTATAAGTATTCATCCATTGTCAGTCAGGCGACCTTTCGCATGATCCAACTATCCACAATCAATTAAACAAGTTAATTGTGAGCTCGGTATGGTGACTGTTCATATCCTAACCGAAAGTGTATCCATTATTTTTTATTTAAATCATATTTAATAAATAACATCCTCACTGCTGGGGCTCAGGTCTTCCCGATGGATGGAATCCAATCTAATAGAATTGAGAACTAATACTGTATTTTTTTATTTTTGACAATAACTACCCTTACAATTCTATCTCGTATTGAGGAAAGTAACTAGTAGTATTATTAATGTTGAAAAAGTTGTTCTCAATCATTGTTATAGAAAAAAAGTTTGAAATTTGAACCCGCCAGCAGATCGCGGATTAGCAAGATTTTGTGAAAATTTACAAATTTCAGAAACTATTTACGATTTTCACTATTCTGTGTAAGGAATACTATTTCACATTTGGTTACTTTATTATAGTACTTCACCCATTCTGTAAATGGCCTTTGGAACACACATACAGTTCCATTTTTTTTATATTTATTGTTTATAAGAAAATACCTCGATTTTTAGGACTCCGCATTAAAAATGGAACCCTCATCTACCCAGCATGTAGACAGAACGACGATTTCGAGAACGTTTTGTCTGTCTACACCCAAATGCTACTTTCCTCGGATTTGCCGACCCTACAAAAGTGACATTTAATGACGATTTAGCATTTCTCGAGTTCGTTATGCTACTTGTGCTGTTCTCTTAGTTGTTTATCTTTCAGTCACAGCTGATATCTCATATCTCATAAACTAGTGAACTAATTGAGTTCAAATTTGGTACACATTTGTAATATTAGTGACCCAATATAGAATCCCTCTTTTAGGGGGCATATTAGGAAATTACAAAATCCCAAACTGTTCCAAATATTGTTACTTTAGTTATCGGAAAACTGATGGATGGAAAATCGATTAGGTTTTAAAATTGAGCAACCGAGTGTGACTTCGACTCGCTCTTCTTCCAAATAATATCTGATTCTTCTGTTGGTTCCTGAGATTGCGAACAATAGAGAAAAGTTTCTATCGCTTAAATCGGTTATTTCGGAGCCGAATTCCGCATACTCTAAAATCGTTTATATGACGTTTGCTTTACGTAATAGTGTTCATATTTTTATCAAAAATGAACATGTATAAATTATGAGTGAAAATTCGTCGAACGTATCATCGGAAGTAGGCATTATTAAGCGCCAACGCATTACCAGACTATTGGTTCAGTGTGAAAGGTTCAAAATGCGAAAGTTTGTGAGGATGTATGTTTGTTACTCTACTGAACAAATTTTGATGAATTGTACTATATGAATAAACTACTGGATTAACATAATAACTAAGTTCTATCTCACTAAACGGTTCCCTAGGGGTAAAAGTACCATAACATTATCATGTAAATCAAGCGTGCGAAGCCGCTGCTGGCGGGAAGCTAGTATTATATGTTTTGTCAGATAAGACGTTCCGTGACAGATCTTCATAGATCAGACAAACAGATCCGCCTAGTTACAAAGTGACGCGATTTATTAGGTCCTGGTCCTTAGCAGAATTGCCATACTGGTTTCAATTTCCGGTTGGGTAAATTTGAACTTTAATATAGTGTCTCGGATCTGTGTGTCATTGTGCCTTTGTTGTTTTAGATTTTCTGTATTCATTTTTGTTTAGTATTATGTGAGTAAAAAACATGTGATATTGTCTAGAATGTTTCTTATTTCAATTAGTTTTGTGGGAACTTTTTGAACTTGGGAATATTACAGAAACAATATAATTTGTGACAAAGTGTATTTTTTAAGCAATTTTCATTAAGAATATTTTCCAGTATTGCTATACAATACAGAATTGATGAAATATAATAAGAATATATATTTTTTTAATATACGTATTTTTAAGACATAGTCAATTAAATTACTTCCTTTTATGCCATCTAAATATAGATTGATTAAAAACTCCTCGATTATTATAATAAATAATAAAAATGTTACTCAGGCTCTATTACATTTTGATTACTCCCATTTAGTCCGAGTACCATAGGAAGTGTCGTTAGCTTTTATCTATATTAAAATCTACACTAATATATGAAAAGTCCTCGTGTACAACATTTTGTAATTGTGCAATTATACCAGTTTTGTGATATGGATGCTATTTAAATTTAAATTCTATTTTATTTTTTATTAACTGATTTAAAGAGTTTGTTTAAACAAAACAAAAATGGGAAATACATATCTACTTTTAAAAAGTTTCTTCTCCAACTTAGCATACTTTATATACAATTCCGAACTTATATAGTTCGGAACACGATCTTACAGCAGCTTACAATGGGTATCTAATTAGCTAATCCCCTCTAAACCTACAAATAAAAAAAAACAAATGTCAATAACGATCTCCGTATCGGAGTAGTTCGCATGCCGGCTAACCGAGACGGCGCGCCGACTCTAGGTTCGATTCCCGGTAACTTCAATGTAGATAATTAAATTTTCTATTTTGTCTCGGGTCTGGGCTGGCTACACTGGTACATAGTTGCCTCACATACTCCATAGTTCCTTGCTTATAGGCATATGCTTTAGCTAGGTAGTTAAATTCAGTTTGGCCTCATACACTTTTACATAGGCTTTAGCTAGTCATGTTTCGAAGTAGTGGTGGCATCTGCGTAATGTGATGTTTTTTTTAAATATTTATCCGATTTAATTTAGACAATATTGTTGTATTATTTGTGACTAAGTAAAAATAATCCAACTTTTATATATACTTCATTATTTTATTTTAATCAGTTATAATTTTCATAACGCTTTATAAAATTTTGTACATGCCTACATGGTAATAATTGTGATACCGTAAAAAATAAAAAAAGAACATTATTAATGATACAAGTGCTTTGTGAGATTATAGGTTGAATATCTCTAGTACGTGTAATGTACATGTAAGTTTATGAACATGATCTTTTAGGTAAAGCATAATCCAATAAGTAGCTCGGTGGCGTAGTGGATAAGCGCCGCGGCCCGCGATCGTTGTCGTTAAGCAACTTTCGCAAGGGTCGGTCACGGGATGGGTGACCAAAAAATTATTATCTCGAGCTACTCCGTGCTTCGGAAGGCACGTTAAGCCATTGGTCCCGGCTGCATTTGCAGTCGTTAATACCCTCCAATCCGCATTGGGCCAGCGTGGAGGGTCATGGCCCATCCTCCTTAACCATCCATAAGGAAGGCCTGAGCCCCTGCAGTGGGGACGTAAAAAGGGCTGGTGATAGTGCAACAGATAATGTCATCTTACACCGGAGTACTAGGATCAACGGCGTTAATAATTCTGAATAAATCTCAGAGGAGATATAATTGTATTAATTTACATTGTGTGAATGTAAAATTGATAAAATATAATATGGTATGTATGTCAATCAGTTTACATGAGTATTGATGTGAGTTCGTATATCGAATCCTGTGCGGTATGGCAGGTGATGACTGTAGATACAATCAGGACCAATCGAGGCACGGAGGAGTTCGTTATATGAAATTTTTGGTCGTCCATCTTATGACTGACCCTTGCGAAAGTTGCTTAGCA